CAAGCAGCAGCTTTACCTGCTATGCCACAGCACCGGCCCCAAGTCCAGCATTTTTTAGGAATATACTTGGCAGAGTTACAGAGAGGCAGAGAGAGATCTTCCATCCACTGATTCACTCCCCAGGTGGCCTCAACGGGGCAGAGCCACACCCATCTGAAGCCAGGAGCCAGGAGCTTCTTCCAGGTCTCCTACGCGGGTGCAGGGACCCAAGAACTTGGGCCATCTTCTACTGCTTTCCCAGGCCATAGAGAGTTGGATCGGAAGTGGAGCAGCCGGGACTCGATCTGGGACACGGATGGGATGCTGGCGCTGCAGGGAGTGGCTCTATCTGCTACACCACAGCGCTGGCCCCTCCTAGTAGTGTTGAACATTTTTTTTTTTTTTTGCTTACTTATTTAAAGATTTATTTATTTAAAATTTATTTTATTTATTTGAAAGGCAGAGTTAAAGAGGGAGAGACATGGGGAAAGAGAGAGATCTTCCATATGCTGATTCACTCCCCAAATGACTGCAACAGCTAGGGCTGGGTCAAGCAGTAGCCAGGAGCCAGGAATTTTTATCCGGGTCTCCCACATGGGTGTAGGGGCCCTACAGACACCATATGGGATGCCGGTTTTGCAGGCAGTGGCTTAACCATTATGCCACAACTCCAGTCAAGATACTTGTCAGCCACCTGTATTATTTTCTTCGGAGAGATGTCTAGTCAAGTAATTTGCTTATTTTTGTATTTTTGAGATGGGTTGTTTGTTTTTATGTTGTTGAATTGAGAAGTTCTTTTTATATTCTGGATATTAATCCTTTATTAGATAAATAATTTGTAAACATATTCCCTTGCTTTATGGGTTGTCATTTCACTTTATTGATACAATCTTTTGAAGCATCGAAATTCTTTTTTTTTTTTTAACAGGCAGAGTGGATAGTGAGAGAGAGAGACAGAGAGAAAGGTCTTCCTTTTGCTGTTGGTTCACCCTCCAATGGCAGCCACGGCTGGCGCACTGCAGCCAGCGCACTGCGCCGATCCGAAGGCAGGAGCCAGGTGCTTCTCCTGGTTTCCCATGGGGTGCAGGGCCCAAGCACTTGGGCCATCCTCCACTGCACTCCCTGGCCACAGCAGAGAGCTGGCCTGGAAGAGGGGCAACTGGGACAGAATCCGGTGCCCTGACCGGGACTAGAACCCGGTGTGCCGGCGCCGCTAGGTGGAGGATTAGCCTATTGAGCCACAGCGCCGGCTAGAAATTCTTGATTTTGATGTAATGCCATCTATATATTTTTTCTGTTGTTATCAATACTTTTGGTGTCATATCCATGAAATCATTGCCAATCCAAGACTGTAAGAATTTTCCTGTGTTTTCTTCTAAGAGTTCTATAGTACTTTTCATTTATTTATTTATTTATTATTTGAAAGGGTGGGGGAGAGAGAGAGATCCTATACCATTGGTTTACTTCCCAAATGCCCACACCAGCCAGGCCTAAACCAGGCCAAAGCTAGGTACTGGGAACTCAATCCAGGTCCCCATCGTGGTGGCAGGGGCCCAAGTAACTGAACCATCACCTTCTGCCTCCCAGGGTACACTCAGCAGGAAGCCGAAATTGGGAGCAAACCTGGGACTTGAACCCAGTCACCCAACATAGGATACAGGCGTCCCAAGCATGCTTGCCCTGACAGTTACATAGTGTTAGCTCTTGGATGTTGATCTACTTTAATCTAAAGTTTTATATATAGTAAGGTAAGGGTCCGCTGCTTTCTTTTGTGTGTGGATATATCCAGTTTCCTGAGCACCATTTATTGCAAAGTCTGCTCTTTCCCCGCAAGTCTGGATATCCTTGTTAAAATCAGTTCACTATAGATGTGTGGGTTTATTCCATTGGTCTATATGTCTACTCTTATGCCAGAATCAATACTGTTTTGATTACTATATCTTTGTAACTTTTGAAGTCAAGTAGTCAAGCAATTTTTTTCCCAAGATTGTTTTGGTTATTTGAGATCCCTGGAGATTTTATATGAATTTCTGGATTTTTTTTATTTTTCAAAAATACACCTTCAGAATTTTAATAGAGATTGCATTGAATTTGTAGATTACTTTGGTTAATACTCAAAGCATAATGTTAAATCTCGTAATCCATGAATATGGGATGTATTGGCATTTATTTGTGTCTTTTTAAGTTTGTTTCAGCAATGTTTTGTAGTTTTCAGTATACACATCAGTCAGGTCCTTGGTTAAATTTATTCCTAAATGCTTTATTCTTTTTGATGCTATAGTGAATGGGATTGTTTTCATAATTTCCTTTTCAGATTGTTCATTTTTAGTGTGTAAAAATACAATTGATTTTTGCAGGTTGATACCATATCCTGCAACATGGCTGAATTTATTTATTGATTCTAACAGTATTTATGTAGATTCCTTAGGATTTTGTATATCTAAACCATGTCATCTGCAAACAGAGATAACTCTTTTCAGTTTGGGTACCATTTGTTGCTTTTTGTTGTCTAGTTGCTCTTGCGAGGACTCCCTCTACTGTACGAATAGAGTGGTGAAAGCAAGCGTTCTGGTCTTCAGGGAAAGCTTTTGGTCTTTCACCTTGAATGTGAAGTTAGCTGTGGGTTTTCATCTTTAGCCTTTGTCATGTGGAGGAGGTTTCCTTCTATTCCTAGTTCGTGGAGGATTTTTGTGCTGCAAGAAAGTTGACTTTTGTCAAATGCTTTTCCTGCTTCAATTGAGATGATCCTATATGTTTTCCCTTCATCCTGTTAATGTGATATATTACATGGATTCATTGTTGTATCTGGAACTGTTCTTGCGTTCCAAGTATATCCTGTTGATGTGCCGCTGCATTCAGTGTACTGGTATTTTGTTGAAGATTTTTCTTCTGTATTCATAAGGAGCACTAATCATTGTTTCGTTATGGTGACTTTGTCTGCTTTTGGTGTCAGGATGATGCGTTAGGATCTGTATTAGTTTGCTAGTTGCTACCATAACAAAGTGCCTCAGACTGGGTAGTTTAACTAACAGAAATCAATTTTCTCATAATTCTGGAGGCTAGCAGTCTCAAGTTCAAGGTCGTTTCTCCTGAGGCCACTCTCACTGACCTGCACCAGGCTGTCTTCCCCTCCTGTGTGTCTAAGTCCTAATCTCTCCTCATAAGGATGCCAGTTCCATCTGGTGTTGGATTAGACCCACCCCAATGATGTCATATCAACTTCTTTACCTCTTAAATACAGTCTAATTACTAGAGGTGAGGATTTTAACACAGGGATTTCAGGGGGACTAGTTCAGACCATAACTTACCTCCTCTTCTTCAGTTTTTTGGAAAAGTTTTAGAAGGGCTGGTGTTAACTCTTCCTTCAGCGTTGTGTAGAATTCACGAGGGAAGCCATCTGGTTCTCGTCTTTCATTTGCTGGGAGGTTCTTCATCACTGATTCAGTCTCCTTACTGATTACAGGTCTTCTCAGTTTGTTTTTCTTCTTAAGTCAGTTTTGGTCAGTTTATAGGAATTTGTCCATTTCATCTAAGTTATTCAGTTGGTTGGGATACAACTGTTTCTAGTGTTCTTTTTAGAATTTTCTTTATTTCTGTAAAAAATACCCCCCACTTTCACATCTGATTGTAGTCATTATTCCTCTCTCTTTTTTTCTTGATTTAAGTAAAAGATGTCAGTTTTTGTTGTTCTTTACCAACTTCTGAGCTTACCGATGACTGATTTTTTTATTTTTCTATTCTTTGTTTTATTTATTCCTGCTCTCATCTTTATTATTTCCTTTCTTCTGCTAACTCTGAGTTTAGTTTGCTTCTCTTTTTCTAGCTAGCTCCTTAATTTGTGTAGTTAGCTTCTTGATTTAAGATCCTTCTACTTTTTGTTTTTATAATTTGAGAGGCAGAGAGACACACAGAAATGGGGTGGGGGGGAGGGAGAGATTGAGAGAGCACTGTCATCCATTGATTCTCTTCCCAAGTCAATCCAGATCTCCCACAGGGCTGGCAGGCACCCAGGCGCCCAGTTAATTGAGCTCTCACTGCCACCACCTCCCAGGGTCTGCATTGGTTGGAAGCTGCAGTCCGGAGCCGGAGCCAGGAATTAAACCCAGGCCCTCTGATGTGGGGTGGGGGCATCTTCACCACCAGGCTAAATGCCTCCGCCTCCTCTTTTTTTTTTTTTTTTTTTTTCTAATTCTATGCATTTATAGCTATAAATTTCCCTCTTAGCATTGCTTTAACTTCATCCTATAAGTTTTAGTATGTTGTGTTTTCCTTTTCAATTGTCTCAAGGTATTTCTCATACAATTTTGGATTTTATTGTTTTTTATAGTTTTTAAACGTGTACCTTTTTTGACCTTAGAGCTACCTAAGAACAGCTCTTATATCTCATTTCATGTTTGCACATATTTAGGTTATGTTGTAATAAAAAACCATATTTAATCAACACTGGGAGTCCCTGAGAACCCCTCAGTAAATGAACTCTGTGCATGGGTCAAATGTTGCCTCAGCTGAAGTGTACACAATGGGTAAGTGAGTCAAGAGCCTGAACAGGGCTGGATGCACTGTTCCTGGCGTCCTTACCGACAGAGGAGGATTCTAGCCGTCTACACTGAAGACTTGCGTCGGGGGAGAGGTGTCCACAGGCCAGGCTGCAAATCTGCTCGGAGAGCCTTCCAACCCCAATTCACTGAACTGCTCTCCCTTCAGTCTGCTTTATTCCCCGCCTTGCATGCCTTCAGATTCACCATCGTCATCCTCAGGGCCCCCTCTCTGGTCCCTTCTTGGTGACCATGAAAGCATTCAGTAGATTAGGGGCCGGCGAGAGGCACGAAGTTGCCTGTCGGTCTGGACAGGTTGCCAGTCCTGCCACTTCGCTTTCTGAGCGTGCTCGCCTTTGTGATGAGGGAAACCTGGCGCTCACAGCGCTGATGGCCGCCCCACTTCGGTCTGGGGGCGGAGAAGCGGGATTCCTGCAGCAGTGCGGCACATGCCAGGCTCACCCACATCGCTCTCCCCCACTGCAGGTTTTCAAGAACCCCCACGAGGTGGTGACGGTGCTGCTGATCCAGACCCTGGGGGCCTTGGTGCCCTCCCTGCCCGTGTGCCTCAGCTCTGGCGTGGAGAGGGCCGGGCCCGAGCTGGAGCTCACCAAACTGCTGGAGTTCTACGACACCACGGCCCACTTTGCCAAGGCGCTGGAGATGGCTCTGCTCCCCCACCCACGTAAACATTCCTCCCTCCCACTTCCCCGGCTTCTCTTTGCTCTGCTTTTTGAGGCTCCTGGGGCCTGGGTTTGTTTGCCTTTCCAGCTGACTGATTTCAGAGAAACGGAAGGGATCCGTGTCTCCCTTCTCAACAGATAGGGCAGGCTTTTCCGTGAAAACACTGCCGTCGTGGAGATAGGTGTTTAACATGTTTGCCTAGCCCCATGCTGCCGGGTGCTTCACCTGTACCAGGCAAGTGACGGAGACTGCTAGGGGGGTCAGAAGGCGGGAGAGGCTTCCGTGGAGCAGGTGGGCGTTAATGGCAAGGAGTTGGCAGCAGGCCACGCTGCGAGGGTAGCGACCTCTTCCTTGCAATCATAAACCCTCAGACAATTCCACCTAGAAAGTAAATGTAAGGGAGCAGCTGGGGGCAGGAGCTTTCTGAAATCGCAACAGGACAGGGGAACCCTCGTGAGGACTCACGGTGGCGGTGGGGACCACGGCCTTTCTGGGGCTCCCCTGTGGGCACAGCGTTCCTTGGTCCCATTTGGGTAAACAGCGCCCAGTGTGTTAGGTTTTACCCAGCTGCTTTCCATCCGTGTCAAAAGCACCATAAATTTTTAAATAACACAGACCCCGTGACGCATAGTGCTGTCAGATCAGGAAATCACTTCAGGAAGGCCTTGTTCTGCTGTTTGGCTGCTGTGTGTCACTCACTTGGTTTATTTAATAGTTATTCTCTTTAATTACATTCGTGTTTAATTGCCTCGTACATTCCAGGGAGTGTGTTTATTGTTCGGGTTCCCGATGATTCATAGGTGTTGTTGGCAAACTGACTGGTCAGGCCTTAGCTGTGGGAGAGGCACAGCGCATGTGGGTAGCTTCCAGGGGACCCTGATGCCATTGTGAAGTGACTAAGAGGCCTGTAGGCCGAGCATCCTGCTGGTGCAGGGTGGGACACAGGGCGAGGAGCAGGTGCACTCCTGCCGGTGGGACGGATGCTCTTGGAAATGAGATGTGCTGTGGCGGTCAGCCATGGCCGGCTCCGCTTCCCACGCTGCCTGCTGAGGTTTTCAAAAGAGGTCTTCTTTCTTTCTTTCTTTTTCTTTTTTTTTTTTAATTTGAGTATACTTGGGAAACAGATTTGGAACTAAAAGAAAAGAAACAAAAATGATCCCTAATTCACCCCCTTGGAGAGCAGCATTCTGTTGTGTTTCGTCCCAGTAATTCAAATATAAGTGCACATCATTCACACACTTGACTGTGTATAATATATACTATATAAATATCATATAGTAAATGCATGATATAAGAGATGTATGTATTTATATGTCATTATACAGTATACTTAATATTCAAAATATTAGTTTACACAGTTTTACATTCTCTTTTTTTGCTCAAAATAATATAATGAATATTTTCTATGTCATCTGATGTTTTACTAAGGCATTATCTTTTAATGCTTTATAACTGTGGCTTATAATTTTTTAAATCTTATTACAAAGAAAATTATCATGTACTGTTTTACACATTAATTTTTGAACCCAACTCTGATTATTCTTTAGTGTAAGTTTAATAGTGCAATTGCTATAAATGAAAATTTGTATCTGTCAGTACTGGATGAGGGGGGCATTCCCGCCTTTCCCCGCTGTCTGTATTTGTCCATCACTACCAGGTTCTTAGACAGTTAACAGTATGCCATTTTAATTTTTGCTTTGATTATTAGCAAATTTGAAAATTATAAAAATTATATTTTTATTTTTTTAACTTTTTAAATTATTTAATTAATTTATTAAAAGACTGAGACCGAGAGAGAAACAGACAGAAAGAGCTCTCATCCACTGGTTCATTCCCCAGATGCCCACGACAGTCAGGGGAGCCAAAGCCAGAAACCAGGAAGCCAGTTGAGGTCTCTCAGGAGGGTGGCAGAAACCCACTTAAGCCGTCCCTGCCGCCTTCCAGGGTCTACATTAGCAGGAAGCTGGAATCAGGAGCCAGAGCTGGGAGCTGATCTCAGGCACTTAGGTAGACCTAATTTTTTATTTTCTTAAAAAATTTTTTTTTTTTCCTTTTTTCTCTTCTGAATTGCTTATCTTTTGCATGTGTTCCTATTTGAGGTTTTAATCTATTTCTAGTTAATTTATAAGGGCTATTTATTTAAAATAATACTCATCTATTCTTAAATGTGTTACAAGAATTCATGATCTAGAAGTTCATAACACAAAATGAAAGTCTCCTCTAATCTCACTTGTTAGAAGTAACCATTGTTAAAACTGTGGTATATGGGGACGGTGTTGTAGCCTAGCAGGTGCTAGCATCTTGGGTAAGGGTGCTAGTTCAAGTCCTGGGAAGGCGTGCACGATGACCCTAGTATTTGGGCCCTCGCCACCCATGTAGGAGACATGGATGGAATTTCTGACTCCTGGCTGTTTTGACCGAGGATGCAAAATCTCTGTTTCTCCCCACCGCCTCCCCCATTGTTGCCTGCTTTTGAAATAAATACATCTTTTTTTTTTTTAGTGCAACAAGTTTATTGCTTTGAAAAAAAAGAAAGAAATTTATGGTATAGGTCCTAACAGATTCTTTATGTAGTAAAGACTTTCCCCATTGTTTATCAAAAATGTTTACTTTCAATAATTTTTATGTTATTTTATGAGTTATTATATGCATATTATGCAGTTTAAAATATGTAAAAGATTATGCAGGAGAAAAAATTTAAAAATTATTTCAGTTGACGTTGTAATTAAGAAGGAATATGTATTCATCATAGAAAAATCTAGAAGTACAAGGAAGGGAAAAAAAAATCATGAAGCTGTTATCCAGAAATCCCATTTTAGATCATATGCATATGCAGGCTTTGTGTATGAGTGTGTATATATGTGAATGCTTAAATAGGATTTCAAAAGAAAACATTTTAGAAAATGTTTGTTTATGCATTAAAAACATAATTGAGAGGCAAAGAGGCACAAGAGCTCCCATCCAGGAGTTACTACCAAATGCCCACAACAGTTGGGCTGGATCTGCATCCAGTTCCCTGCTAATGTGCCTGGGAAAGCAGCAGAGGAAGGTGGCCCAAGTCCTTGGGCCCCTGCACCCACGTGGGAGACCCAGATGAAGCTCCTGGCTCCTGGCTTCAGCCTGACCCAGCCCTGGCCATTGTGGCCATTTGTAGAGTGAACCAGTGGATAGAAGATCTCTGCCTCTGCCTCTGCCTCTTTCTTTCTCCAACTCTGACTTCCAAACAAATTTTTTTTTTAAATTACCAATTTATAAGCTTTTTTTTTTAACCTCTCCACACTGAAACTCCCAGTTCCCAATTGGGCATGTGTGTCTTTTTTTTTTTTTTTTTTTTTTTGACAGGCAGAGTGGACAGTGAGAGAGAGAGACAGAGAGAAAGGTCTTCCTTTTGCCGTTGGTTCACCCTCCAATGGCCGCCGCTGCAGCCGGCGCACCGCGCTGATCCTGGCAGGAGCCAGGAGCCAGGTGCTTTTCCTGGTCTCCCATGGGGTGCAGGGCCCAAGCACCTGGGCCATCCTCCACTGCACTCCCTGGCCATAGCAGAGAGCTGGCCTGGAAGAGGGGCGACCGGGACAGAATCCGGCGCCCCAACCGGGACTAGAACCCGGTGTGCCGGCGCCGCAAGGTGGAGGATTAGCCTATTGAGCCACGGCGCCGGCCCATGTGTGTCTTTTAAATATGTATGTGCAGTTACTTTTTTTTTTTTTTTTTTTTTTTTTTTTTTTTTTTTTTTGACAGGCAGAGTGGACAGTGAGAGAGAGAGACAGAGAGAAAGGTCTTCCTTTGCCGTTGGTTCACCCTCCAATGGCCGCCGCGGCCGGCGCGCTGCGGCCGGCGCACCGCGCTGATCCGATGGCAGGAGCCAGGAGTCAGGTGCTTTTCCTGGTCTCCCATGGGGTGCAGGGCCCAAGCACCTGGGCCATCCTCCACTGCACTCCCTGGCCACAGCAGAGGGCTGGCCTGGAAGAGGGGCAACCGGGACAGAATCCGGCGCCCCGACCGGGACTAGAACCCGGTGTGCCGGCGCCGCTAGGCGGAGGATTAGCCTAGTGAGCCGCGGCGCCGGCCATGTGCAGTTACTTTTCACAACTGCATTATGGCAGGGTCAAAATATGTTTATTCATTTAACGACCACTGGCTGAGAATGGGGTACTGGGTACCGTGCAGAACCAGATACAGTCCCTGCCCCCACCCCGTGTATAATCCACTGGGCGATAATCTGATGATCACAGTAACAAATGTATGATAGCAAGGTGAGATAAGTACTTTGAAGAAAAACAAATGGTTCTATGAGAATACAAATAAAAGAAGATATTGGACTAGTTGCACAGACTTGAGCTGAATACTGAAGGGACAATGAATAGGAGTTAACTGGATGAAGAGGAGTAGGGAAGGAAAAAAAAGTCCTTGCAGCTAGAGAGACCAGCATGTGACCTGAAGGGAGAGTGGTGTTGCAGGAACAGAGAGAAAGCTGGGAGTCAGGGGAGGAGTAAGAGAGGTGGGGGTGAGACTGTAGAGGTAATAATGAAGGGGCCTACACTGTGGCACAGTGGGCTAAGCCTCCGCCTGCAGCACTGACATCCCATATGGGTGCCGGTTCTAATCCGGCTGCTCCTCTACTGAGCCAGCTCTCTGCTATGGCCTAAGAAAGCAGTGAAAGATGGCCCAAGTGCTTGGACCCCTGCAGCCACATGGGAGACCTGGAAGAAGTTCCTGGTTCCTGGCTTTGGATTGTCCCAGCTTCAGCGATTGTGGCCATTTGGGGAGTGAACCAGCAGGTGGAAGATCTTTTTCTCTCTATGTCTCTATTTGTAACTCTACTTCTCAAATAAATAATCTTTTAAAAAAAAGTAACAATGAAAATAGCTGGTATTGATCAAGACATGCTAGACCCCTGTGATTTGACCTAATCTTCACAAGACCTTGTGAATGTGCTGCTGTTATTATCCTCATTTTTTAACTGAGGAAACAGGCATAGAAAATTAAGTCAGGTACGGGCATTTGGTGTGGTGGTTAAGATGCTAGTTGGGATGCCCACATCCTATTTTGGAGGGCGTGGGTTCGAGTCCCAGTTCTGCTCCTGACTCCAGCTTCTTGTTAATGTGCACCCTGGGAGGCAGCAGGCGATGGCTCAAGTAGTTGGTTCCCCACCACTCAAGGAAGATTTTGAGTTCCCATCTCTTGGCTTTGGCCTGGCCCAGCTCTGGCTACTGCAGGCCTTTGGGAAGAGAACCAGTGGATGGAGATCTCCGTCCGTCTGTCTCTGTCTCTGCCTTTCAAGTACATTTAATAAATGTATACAATTTTTAAAAAATGTGCAGTCATTTGCAGACAGTCACATAAGTAGAAGGCAGTAGGGCTTTGATAGAAGATGCTTCTTTCACTCTTAACTACCACCAGCTCTCATTCCCTGAGGTCAGGCGGCAGGGGACTTTGTAAGCTATAGAAAAGCTTTTGTGCTCCAACTGCAGATCGGTGGGAACCACTGAAAAATTGCGAGTGGGGCAGTCACGTCATCAGATTCCTGTTGGGGACTATCCTTCCAGCTGCACTATGGAGGACAGGTTGGAGGGCACCAGAGGACGTGAGATCAGTGGATAGGCCGTTGACATTTGCCTGTCCCCTGTTGAGCTGGTCTCTAGAACTTTCCAACCTGGGCAGCATTTCTGTGACATCCTCCTGTGCATACCATCCGTCTGCTTATTTATTGCCTCTCTGGAGGAATCCTTAGGTGTTGAGTCGCTATGTCACAGCATAGGCACGTTTACATTTTTGACACAAATGTTTTCAGTTTCCGTGTAGTTGACCTTAGGGATTTTTGGAATACCTAGTGTGTGGCGTATCCTGGCTCTGTAAAGTCCTAGGAGCACTTGAAGTGCAAAGAGCCTTTCTCTCTGCGGCCGTTCTTTCTGCTCCTGACCCTGCTGGAGGGACAAACTCTGATGGGCTGTGGGATGCAGAGGGCTGTATCTGTAATAGTGCTCTCTACACAAACAGAGCGCACAGCCCCAATGTATCCACTTTACTGAACTGTCTGTTGACAGAGCTTCTGGGAGTGATAAAAGCAGATTAACCAGACCCGGTCACCCCTGAAGATAAAACAGGAGAAGTTCTGGTAGAGCCCCTCTCCCCGGTTGCTTTCTGGCAGTTGATTTCGGATTCTTTGTTCATTGTTGCTTTCCATTTCCCATCCCCCCAAAGATGAGCACAACATGGTGAAAGTCACCGAGCTGGTGCAGGCGGTGTATGGTCCCTACAAACCCTACCAGCTGAAGTATGGCGACATGGAAGAAAACCACCTCCTCATCCAGCTCAGCGCTGTGCCTCTGGTAACGCAAGCGTGCTGTGTGCTGGGCCCTTGCCAAGGCTGCCACAGGGTGGGGTGGGGGGGTCGGGTCAGGTGTGCAGGATCCACACGTAAAATGAGCCCACAGCTATGCTACCTGCCTCCTACTTAAAATCCGGGACAGAGCCCTAGCAAAATGAGAGAAGGGGAGTAAGTTCTTTATCTCCCTGATTGTTCTTACTGAGGGACATATGCAAATAGGCACGGGAGTTTAGCATTCACGGATACTGCTGTAGGGCGGGTTCACTGTGTGGGCGCAGGCCGGGGGAACCTAGACCATTCCCGTTTGAAATCTCGTCCGGCATGAGACCTGAGTTGACGTCTAAGACTTGATCTTGCATTAGTTCAACTCTGCTGCCTCTTGCCACTTCCCTGTTTTCCAGGGATGTACCTAGAAAGTGTGTTCCACTTCAATTATGTTCCTGCCACTGAAGGACAAGTTTTCCGTTCACTACATTCTTTTAAAAGAGTGTCCGACGTGGTGAATTAGAATCCTAGCCAGAGAGATCTTATTTGAATGATCACAGACCGATAGGAAAGAAGTGAAAATCCCAAGAATGAACCGGGCGTTAGATCGTGCTTCTGTGCCAGGCGTTACTTTTCGTGATCCTACTGGCCGTGTAGATTGTCTTTCCCTGCCCCATGTCCCAGAAGAGCCGTGAGAGCTGGGGCCTGTGTTTCTGATATCCCTATCCTGTGATGGGACTGCTGACGGGAGGGCCTGGGGGTGACCCGCGTCTCACTGCTGCCTCCCCTTTGTCCGTACCTGCCGACCAGGAGCACGGGGAAGTCATTGACTGTGTGCAGGAGCTGAGCCACTCGGTGAACAAGCTCTTCGGGCTGGCGTCCGCAGCTGTTGACAGATGCGCCAGGTTCACCAATGGCCTGGGGACGTGCGGCCTGCTGACAGCCTTGAAGTCCCTCTTTGCCAAGTAAGTGGGGGGGATGGAGACAGGGCCAGTTATGTCGCAGGGCAGTGTTTGTCCCAGCTAAAAATGCACGTGTTCTGTGTTCTTGCCATGAACCCTGGAGAAGCACACACATCTGATCTAAGAAGCTGTTCTTCGGGTGTGTGTTTGTAATGGTGGAACATTTGAAGCAACCTACATGTCCGTCCATTAGGCAGAGGCCACAGAACATGATATTTTCATACGAGGGAACCCCACACAACTGTTAAATATTAATTACATCGACTCCTGTCAACATGGATCTCAAAAATGTGTTGTGTAGTGAAACAAAAGTGAGGTGTGGAATAATATAGGGAGTCTAATACATACATTACGTGAGAAAGGGCAGATTTTCTTTTTTTTTTTTTTTTTTAAGATTTATTTCTTTATTTGAAAGCCAGAGTTACAAAGAGGAGAAGGAGAAGCAGAGAGAGAGAGAGAGAGAGTTCTTCCATTCGCTGGTTCACTCCCTAATCGGCCACAATGACTGGAGCTGTGCCAATCTGAAGCCAGGAGCCCATGTGGGTGCCGGGGCCCAAGGACTTGGGCCATCTTCTGCCATAGCAGAGAGCTGGATTGGAAGTGAACCAGTGCCTATATGGGATGCTGGCACTACAGGTGGCAGCTTTACCTGCTACGCCAGAGCGCCAGCCCCAGTAGGGTAGATTTTCTGTGGTAGATTTGGCAGGCATTTTCTGCACAGGGCAGATACCGAGTATTGGGCTTTGTGGGCTAGGATATGTGGTGCGCTGAGAACTTTGTAACCTGAAAGTAGCCTTAGACAACCCATAGATGAATGAGTGCGGCTGTGTTCCAATCTCAACTTCACCAAAACAAACAGAAAACTTAGGAGTGCTGGCCTCTGGCCTCTGTCCTCGGTCTTTTTTTGTACTGTAAAAAGCATCGTAGATCCCTGCAGAACAGAGGTGGGCCAGCTCCAGCTCATTAGTCAAACCTGGCTGCCATCTGGCTTTGTAAGTAAAGTTTGCCAGGAACACAGCCACGCCCTTCACTTACCTCTGGCCTGGAACTTCTTCCCGCCGCGAAGGCAGAGTTGAGTAGTTGGGACAGAGACTTGGTGACTGGAAAAGCCGAAAGTATTTACTGTCTGGCCCTTAACAGAAGGAGTTTGCTGAGCCAGGCTCTCTTTGGGGACGTGGAGAGGGTTGGTGGTCATAGGGGATTGCACTTTTTTTTTTTTTTTAAGTTTTCCTAGCATTATCATTCGCTGTCTTTTTTTAAAATATATATTATTATTTGAAAGGCAGAGTGAAAGAGAGAGGCAGAAAGAGAGATAGAGAGATCTGTCTTCCATCCACTGGTTTACTTCCCAAATGGCCGCAATAGCCAGGGCTGGGCCAGGCCGAAGCCAGGACTCCACAGCTCCATCCAGGTCTTGCTTGGGGATGGCAGGGACCCAGATACTTGGGCCATCACCTGCAGCTTCCCCAGGTGCATGAACAGGAAGCTGGCTCAGAAGTGGAGTAGCTGGGACTCAAACTGGTGCTCTGATGGGGGATGCAGGTACCCCACAGCAACTTAACTCACTACACCACAATGCCTGCCCATCTGTTGTTTTTAAAATTTCTTTTTAAAGTTTTAACTATTTATTTGAAAGGCATAGTTACAGAGAGGTAGAGGCAGAGAGAGAGTGAGAGCGAGCAAAAGAGAGAGAGAGAGAGATCTTCCATCCTCTGGTTCATTCCCCAGATGGTTGCGGTGGCTGGAACTGGGCAGATCCGAGGCCAGAAACTAGCAGCTTCTTCCAGGTCTGCCACGTGGGTGCAGGGGCCCAAGGACTTGGGCCATCTTCTACTGCTTTCCCAGGCCAGAGCAGAGAGCTGGATCAGAAGAGGAACAGCCGGGACTAGAACCGGCACCCATATGGGATGCCAGCACTGCAGGCAGCGGCTTTACCCACGATGCCACAGTGCCAGCCCCTATTTTTAAATTTTTGGAAAAAGAATATGGGGGCTGGCGTAGTGGGATAAGCTGCCACGTGTGACACCAGCATCCTATATAGGTGCTCTTTCGAGTCCCGGCTACTCCACTTCCAATCCAGCTCCCTACTAATGGCCTGGGAAAGCAGTGGTAGGAGCAGAAACCCTTTACTCTGCAGCCAACAAGGAGGTTAAAGATAATAGGCTTTCTTTTTTTAAACTTTTTAATACTGTATAAATGACAGGAATAACACAGTTGTTCAGGCCTTTATATATATATATATTTTTTTTTTTTTTTTGACAGGCAGAGTGGACAGTGAGAGAGAGAGACAGAGAGAAAGGTCTTCCTTTTGCCGTTGGTTCACCCTCCAATGGCTGCCGCGGCCAGCGCGCTGCGGCCGGCGTACCGCGCTGATCCGATGGCAGGAGCCAGGAGCCAGGTGCTTTTCCTGGTCTCCCATGGGGTGCAGGGCCCAAGCACCTGGGCCATCCTCCACTGCACTCCCTGGCCACAGCAGAGAGCTGGCTTGGAAGAGGGGCAACCGGGACAGAATCCGGCGCCCCGACCGGGACTAGAACCCGGGGTGCGGGCGCCGCTAGGCGGAGAATTAGCCTAGTGAGCCGTGGCGCCGGCCCAGGCCTTTATATTTTTAAACATATCTTTGGTATACTTTTTTTCCTCCTTTTTCTTTTCTTTATCCCCCCCCCATACACCCAGAAACCTTTTATATAAGGAATACAAACATCATGCATTGCATAAATACAACTTCAGGAACACAGTGATTCTTCCCATCGTACCCACCCTGCCAGCCCCCTTCCTCCTCAAGACGAGGGGCTTTAAGGTGTGGTGGTAGTGGGCTCTCTGGCGTGGGGCCAGCTGGGCTCAGGTCCTGGCGCTGACCTGTACTCGCTGGGACCCTGGGCGCTGGTCTCTGCTCTCATCTTTTCTCTCTGTGGTGGTTGTGAATATTAGAGGAAAGTGTGTAATCGAAGTCCTGAACACCACGACTCTCACGTGGCGGGCACCTGAGATTCTGTATTATGATAGAGAATGGGGGAGTTTAGGGACCAAAATGGTGTGATAAAAGCTACCCTTTCTTCTGAGAGTTCAGGATAAACCATCCAGAACTCTGGCCTGCAGAACCGGGAAGTACGCGCAGCGTTCGCGGAGAGCCGTGCCTCCCCCAGGCTGCAGGAGCTCAGGCTGTTCCGCGGGGCCCTGCCCAGGAGCTTTGCAGGGCGTGGGGACAGCTGGATGGCGTGCTCCTCTGGTGCGTGCCCGTCGTGGTTGCTGGGTGGCGATGGGTGTTTAACCTCCCACCGCTGAGGCCGTTACATCCCTTAACACCCCCTGTTGATCGTCCTTGAGGCCTGTTCCCTTCCCCGCCTGAGAAAGCCGCCCCTGCGGGCCGCTAAGGGCAGATCCGGTCAGTGGGATTCGGGGTTCGTCGCTTTCCACTTCAAGGCCCGCAGGCCGTTTGCAGCTAGTGTAGTGGTCTTGGGCAGCATCTCCCACTGGGCCCCCGAGCGGCCTTTCTTGCCACCACACCAGCTCGCTTTTCGCGTTGCGCTTTCCTCACTCGGAGCTGATGGTTTGGGAAGGGACCAGGGAAGCCCTCGGGGATGCACACCCTTGTCACGGCCGCCTGTGCTCCAGGGAACAGGACTCCCGCGGCCCTGTCCTCACCACGCCCTCCTGAGCACATGCGCTTCTCTGCTCAGTTCCAAGAAATTGGCAGCATTAAAAATAGCATCAGCGCATGTCAACTTTTGTTTTTTTTTTTCTATTGTTTTATTTAGTCTGCTATGCCATTTATTTAACGTTATCATCACAATACTGCCATGAGGCAATACAGAAGTCATCATTAAATCCATTTTAGAGAAATTTTATTTGAGAGGCTGCGAGAGAGAGGCTGGGAGAGAACAAGAGCGAGCACTCCCATCTGCTGATTCATTCTCTAGATGCCTGCACCAGCCAGAACTGGGATGGGCTGAGGTCAGGAGCTGGCAACTCAACCCAGGTCTCCCAGCCAATCCAGGAAGCCAATCGCTGGAGCCATTGTCCCTGCTTCCCAGGGTCTGCTCTAAGAGGGAGCTGGATTCAGGGGCTGGGGCTGGGAGTCAGACCCAGAACTCTGGTGTGGGATACAGTCATCTTAACCAGCGTCTTTAAAAAAAATTTGTGAAATGCTGGCCCCAAAAGGTTCATTTTAAAGATGAGGAAGGGGCCAGCACGGTGGCACAGCGGGTTAATGCCCTGGCCTGAAGCGCCAGCATCCCATATGGGTGCCGGTTCTAGTCCTGGCTGCTCCTCTTCTGATCCAGCTCTCTGCTGTGGCCTGGGAAAGCAGTAGAAGATGGCCCGAGTCCTTGGGCCCCTGCACCCACGTGGGAGACCTGGAAGAAGCTCCTGGCTCCTGGCTTCAGATTGGTGCAGCTCCGGACACTGTGGCCATCTGGGGAGTGAACTAGTGGATGGAAGACCTCTCTCTCTGTTTCTACCTCTCTCTGTAACTCTGTCCTTAAAATAAATAAAATGAATCTTTAAAAAAAAAAAAAAAAAGATGAGGAAGCAGAGGCCCAGACACTGAGGTGCTTGCCCACGGCTGCAGCGCCAGTCTTCCATCCATCCAGAAGCTGTTTCCTGGCGTCTCCCTGTGCCCAGTGCTGTTCCGGGTCCTGGGATACAGTCACGAGCTACCAAGGCACAGTCCCTGTTCTTACAGACTTAGAGCCCACGACAGCAATAAGCGTTCAACAGATGGGCACTGAAGAAGCCGTGTCGTTCTAGTGTGTTACGTGCTGTGAAGGAAATCGAGAGCAGACAGCCGCGGCTGTGAGGGCGGGGCTGCAGGTTTCGTGTGCACTGCCGTTAAGGCAGGCCTTTGCCAACCAGGGAGCTTTCATCTCCCTGCCGTGGCTGTTGAGTCTCAATTCGGTCACTCAGAATGCTGCAGAGTCCCTGGGCATAAGAAACTGCCTTGCGCTCTCCCAGCTTGCGGTTGGTAATTAACAGTGGGTCCGCAATGTTTCCAAACAGCTCTTTAAACCTCCTTCCAAAGGATGCGTTCGTTAGGATGGGGGTGGTTTGCCAGCGTCATGCCTCCTGGTTGGTCATTAGTGTCAACTTAGGGCTGACCTTGAGCAACCTTGAGCATCTCTCGCCAAGCTGCTGTCCCAGGCGATCAAGACGGTCTTGCCTCTTGGAGAGGATCTTCCATGGTCAGAGGCCTCCCGTCGTCCCACCCCTCTGCTGAAGCCTCTGAAGACGTCGCCGGGGCCATCAGCAGTCTGTCCAAGCTGCCGGGTTCCAGGTGTCTTTAGAGCTGAGGAGTTCATGAGGGTCTCCGTGTTGTTTTCCCCTCCCCGCAGGTACGTGTCTGATTTCGCCAGTACGCTCCAGTCAATACGAAAGAAGTGCAAGCTGGATGACATTCCTGCCAACTCGCTCTTTCAGGAAGACTGGACGGCTTTCCAGAACTCTGTTAGGTAAAGTCGGCCTGTAATATAAGCGCGTCTCTAATGTAGTAAGCGTAAACATACAGAATTTGGTACACGAAAAGGATAAATGGTTTGCAAGGAGTGCATGGTTTTTTCTTCCAACTACCTTTTAAAAATTATTCATTTTGATTTCATTTGTAAAGGCAGAGAAACAGATACATAGATAGATAGAGATCGTCTGTTCTCTGGCTTATTCCCCAAATGCCTGCAAGAGCCCACCTACATCAGGGATGCAGAACTGAATCTGGGTCTCCCGCATGGGTAGCAGAGACCCAAGCGCTTGACCCATTACCTGCTGCTCTCCGGGGTGTGCGTTAGCAAGAAGCTGGAGTCAGAGCAGAGGAGCTGGGACTCACACCAGACACTGCAATGAGATGCGCGTATCCCAAGTGGCCTCCTAACCACTGCTCCACAGGGCCCATCCTTCCATTGCAAGCACTCGAGACTCTGAAAATAAAAAATAAATTAAATAAATTAAAACAGAAAAAAAAAAGTCAACCACCACCAGCAACAACAGCAAAAAACAAAAAAAGATTCCTTTAGCTCTTAAAATATTTTAAAAAATTCTTGATGCACGCCTAATTCCCTTTAATGGCTTCAGTTTTTTATGTTTGATGTGAGTTTTTTTTCCCCGTCAGAGTCTATGGTTTTTGCGCACCTACAATCACTCAGCACTTACATTTTAGAAAATGCTCAGCTGATGGCTCTAAGAATATTGGTACTAAACGGTAAAGCTACCGTTTAGCCTGGAAAGGACCACGCCAAGAGTTCAGTGAAAGGCGCTTAGGTGACCTTCTGTAGTGGTTGTCATGGCCAGATTGTGGGACAGCCTTGGGACCTGAGGGCCTGGGAAGAGTGTGGTCAGCAGTGGCCTGAGAAGGTTTGACCCTTGACATAGCCAGCTACAGAGTACAGACTGCTGACCCGGCTCAGATCTGACCTATAGACATCTTTTTGTTTGATCCTAGCATTAAGGAAATTTTGGAGTAGCTGCCAACAGTTAAAAGCCATTTAGCATCATACAATTTTCCAATGTTGTCTAAAAAGTTGCATCTCCTGGGGTTGGCCACTGAGGTCCCCAGCCGCCTAGGCATGCCTTCCCTGCTGTGCTGTGGTTCTCCCCACTCCAGAGGGGTCTAACAGCAGAACCCAAGGCACTCTGCAGCTTTCTTTCCCTGGGAGCCGTTCCTATGGGTGCACGTTATCAAGACAGAAACTGCTCTTTCCCTGGCGTGTTCACCCCCTGTGTTTCCTGCCTCACCCCTGGCCTACATGATACGTGCAGAGGTACCTGTGACACAGTAGTTCTCAACACAGTGGCCTAGGCCAGAGCAGATCCAGCCCCACCGGAGGCCATCAGGGCAGGTGCAGGACCACCCAGGGCCGTTTAGGGCCGTCACCTGGTGGCCGTGTCCTGGCCTTGCATTGCTCTGATGAATCCAGTGTCTGGACGCTCGCTCTCTGAGCTGTGCTGCCGTGCTGTTCTGGAAAACACTGCACACAGTTTGTCCTGTTGTACCTGAAGGGGCGGAACACTTTCCCTTCTCATAAACCTTTCTGATGATGGAATGCCTAGATACCCTAGTGATGATAGGCCCTTTTTGCCAGAGTTAAAAGTTAACCAGACTTAAGATGTCTTTAATCCTTGGATTTGTCCTGACATTATGAATTTGGTGTTGAAAGACTCAGTAGCTGGAGTTTGAGGCCTGGCATAAAATTAACTTGAAAGGATTATCAAATACAGATATGAGGATCATGCACATCTACCCTGAGAAACAAGTGGATTAATCTTCATCTGCCTTTTAGGGAAAGATACACTTCTCATAACAAAGCAGTTGAACAGACTTTGCAAACAGCAGGCATCTGCCAAACACTAAATGGTAAACTTTGATTTAAAATTTTAGACACAAAGTTTTTTGACACCCCCCACCCCCACCCCCTTTGGAAAAAAAAAAGCACCCAGTATTTTGGAAATGTAAAATCACTTGAGGTGGTGGTTGGAGAGAGGTTATCAGAAGGGACCAGCATTTCCCTTTCACATTAGTTACTAGTGAGGGAAACATGACTGCTTTCCCAGAACACTACACCACCAAAGGGAACAAATAGTTAGAATTTTTATGAATGAGACAATGTTTGTCCTGTAAATGTTGGCATTCCAGATACTTGAACTTGAAGTGTGTTCTGCTTTGTCTAGGATAATAGCCACCTGTGGAGAGCTCTTGCGGCAGTGTGGGGACTTTGAGCAGCAGCTAGCAAACAGGTAGGTTTGCCCTCTGTGGTCCAGCCCCTGGGGTTCTGGGTGGGAGGAACTCCATCCAGGACACAGTACAGCAGGGACAGCATATGGGCAAACCTGAAAGCCACAGGGCCCGAGAACTGTCTGTACCTAGATACAAGGTGTCATTATTGTCATCATTAAACATTTATTGGGCACCTAACAAGGGCAAGGCTCTGTCCTCCCTGGTACACGATTTTGGTTGCAGATAGGAGTTTCAGTCTAAACAAGGAAACAGTACGCGTTGTCTCCAAATTACAAATGGGCTGGGTTCCTGCTGCTTGTTTGTAAGTCAGTTATTGGGGCTGAAAATAAATTTCCCCATAGAAACAGTGTCACAAGTGGAGGTTAGGTCCTCGGGGTCAGTGCACAGAATCAACTTTGACCCAGACAGCCTGTCTTCCAGGTTCCGCAGCGGAATCCTGTGCAGAGGGAGGCATGTGTGAGCGAAGGCGAGTGTCTGGGGTCTGGCCTAGGAAGGGTCTATTGTGTCCCCTTTCTCTTCTGGTACGTTGCGTTGAGGTGGCTCCGCCCAGACTGATTTTCCCAGCAGAGGTCTAGCGTCCCAAGCTGCTTTCTTCTCTTCTTGCAGCTCCCTCTCTCATTCCCTTGGCGTCCCTGAGCTGACATCTGTGTTCTCAGGGGTGGAGGGGAGACCTCTGCTCCCTGCAGCTGTGGGAGGGGTTGGCTGCAGGCCTCCCCTCTCCTTCCCAGATGATTGTAACGTAACCCCAGGGAGGTGGGACATTGGAGAATGGTACAAAGCGAAAGGAAGCCTGAGTGGGAGGTCGGGGCGAGCTGCTGTGGAAGGCAGTCGGACTGGCCTCGGAGCCTGTGCTCATGCTGGCTGTTGCTTCTAGCAACTTCTGCCTTCCTTTGCCTTCCTGGGCTGCGTTTCTCGTGGTTTTCCTTGTGGGAAGGCCTTGCCGCAGGGCAGGACGGGAGCAGCTCTCGCTGTCCCTGAGTCCAGCACGGCCCAGCACAGAAGTAATGTGACTTCCTTGAGTGACTACAACCCAGAGCACCACAGGCAGAGGCTGGAATGTGTGTAAATAATATAAACGCAGCAAGTGGCCCCAGCAGCAGCCCGTGCACGCACTCACGCTCACTCCGAGAGGAGTCTGAGGCAGAGTGGTCACGGAGGACTCCTGTCGCTGAAGGTTTAGCACTCTCATGTCTAAAAGAAAGGCACATGGTTCATCGTCACTCCCCAAATGTCCACAACAGCCAGGCCTGGGCCAGGCTGAGCCCAGGAGCCCCAAACTCCGTCCTGGTCTCCATGTGGGCGGCAGGGACCCAGTTAGCCGTGCCGTCCCTCACTTGCTGCCTCCAGGGTGCACGTTAGCAGGCAGCCAGAGCCAGGAGCTGCAGCCCGTTGTGTAATCTCGGTGTTCCCACACGGGATGCAGGCGTCTTACCCTTCTTCCTAGCCGCCCAGCCAAATGCCCACCCCTTATCTTCTTAGTCATGGTAGCTGTTCATTGTAAAAATCAAAACAGTTCATAAGTGTACAAAGTAAAAGTGCAAATCTACTCATCCTAAAAGTGTCTTCTCTCCAGAAAGAACATTGTTAACCATCTCCTGCCCTGTAATATTCATTGAGCTTTGACAGTAAGGACTTTACGTGAATTAACCATTAACCCTGCCAGTGCTGAAGAGGTAGGTGTTTTTTTTTTTTTTTTTTTTGGACAGGCAAAGTGGACAGTGAGAGAGAGAGACAGAGAGGAGAAAGGTCTTCCTTCCGTTGGTTCACTCCCCAAATGGCCGCCATGGCCGGTGCACTGCACCGATCCGAAGCTAGGAGCCAGGTGCTTCCTCCTGGTCTCCCATGTGGGTGCAGGGCCCAAGCACTTGGGCCATCCTCCACTGCACTCCCAGGCCACAGCAGAGCTGGCCTGGGAGAGGAGCAACCAGGACAGAACCGGCGCCCCGACCGGGACTAGAACCCGGGGTGCCGGTGCCGCAGGCAGGGGATTAGCCTAGTGAGCCACGGCGCCGGCCAGGTGTTCTTCTAATTCACATTTTTACAGAAAGAGGAACTTCGAAATGTAGACTCTGGCATAGGAAATAGCAGTTTAGGCAAAAGCAAAAAAACTATTTGCCAAAATATCCATTTCTGAGAGACCATGAGTGACACCTTGTCATCCCCCGCGTTGCCCAGCATGTGAGAGTATCACTCCAGGCTGTCCTTTCTCACAGATAAGTGTCTTAGTGCCCCTAGCCATGTGTGTTCGTCTCAGACATCTTCCCAAATCAGGATATTGGGTTTTCCTTCATCTTTTGTCGAAGGTGAGTTTGACATCCCGGAGAGTAAGGAGGAATCAGGTTAGGAAGGTGAGTGGGGAAAGGATGAACCTTCTACCTGAGTGCAGCCCAGAGAGGCTGAAAGCCCAGCCTGAACTTTGGCACAAGATGAGAGCAGCCTGGGTGTATCCAAGGGAGACTCTGTAAAGGGTGACATCATCCTGGGAAGGAACAGTCACCATCCGTGTTCCCACCTGTGAGGCTGCCTAGCACATGTGTGGCAGCTGCCTGTAAAGCTTATCTTATCTCCCTGTCAATCTCACCTGCAGAACCCAGACTCCTGCTAGGGACCACTCCCCACCGGCGGCAGAGGTGATGGCACGAGACTCTGCAGGCTGCTTTGACGAAAAGTTGACGTTGACCATCAGGCTCTTTTCAAAAAGATTTTATTTATTTATTTGAGAGGCAGAGTTACAGAAAGAGAGAAGCAGAGACAGAGAGGTCTTCCATCTGCTGGTTCACTCCCCAGATGGCCTCAACAGCCAGAGCTGCGCCCATCTGAAGCCAGGAGCCAGGAACCTCCTCCAGGTCTCCCACGTGGGTGCAGGTGCCCGAGGACTTGGGCCATCTTCTACTGCTTTCCCAGGCCATAGCAGAGAGCTACATTGAAAGGGGAGCAGCCAGGACATGAACTGGTGCCTATATGTGTACCACACTCTACACATTGCTGGCCCCTAGAGTCCCCGTTTTGGGCAAGGGGGTCATCTTGTGACTTAAGGGTTCAGGAAAGCAGGTCTGATTTTTTTCCCAGGCTAGTAACATGCAGTGCTCTTTTGTGTTGCAGGGCGGCAGCAGCTGCAGCCCCCAGACTCTGCAGCGTGCTAAGCTGGGGTGGTCAGCAGGTTAGGCAGATTTAGAGCTCTTTGACCTCCTGTGCTTTCAGTGTTGGGTGGGTTTATGGGATGTCACCTCATTGTCGGTGGAGGAGCATCACGGGTCTTAGTGGGGCAGTTCCGTTGGGAATGCAGTGTCAGTGTACAAGTCTCCCGGACTGAGGACTGAGGAGTGGGTAATGACTTGCCTGGAAGAGGAGCTGGCTTGAGGCACAGGATGGACGGGTAACACTCCCTCCTGTGTGTGTACTTACCGGTTCGGCCAGCGCAGCAGTTAGCATGTTAGCACCTCGGACTCCCTCGTTCATCTCTGAGCCTCTTGAGGGCAAGGATTGTGTTTAATAACCCGATATCCCCAAACCAACCTAGAGCCCATTACAATGACGAGAAAGGGTTTCTTTGAAGAAGAAATCAAATACTCATTTCAGCAAGGTGTAGTTCACAATACTGGCCAGTATCAGGAAGTCGGGTATCCTGTGCTAAAGGCTAGGTCACCTAGCAGGGTCTGGTTGAAGAGGGGGGCCAGGCAAAACATGCCATTGGTTCTTTGGGTTGGAGTCGTATTTATTCTGACATTTAAACTACATTCTTCATTACTTAAAGTATTCCTGACGCACCTGCTTGTCTTCGGCCTGCTGTGAGGTCGGTTCCCCGTGGGCCACCCGATACCGAAACACCTGCTGCAGTAACCCTGCAAAGGAGAGCAGACTTCCTGGGGACGGCCAGGCAAACTTAACTCTCAACTCCTGGGCACCAAATCCTGGGTCACCTGTGGTCCGCAGTTACTGGGCACCTGCCAGGTGCCAGGCACTGTGCTGGGTGTTAGGACTCCCGGGATGAAGAACGCTCTGTGTTTTGTCCTGACCATCCGGTGGGAGAAATGAGAGAACGTATAAGCCATGCATAGCAGAGGCAAGGGGCTGATGGGAACGAAGACTGAGAGCACTTGGAAAGGGTGGCAGAGGAAAAGCCTTGGGGGCCGATCTCTTTTTTAAAATGAATTAACCAATTTGAAAGGCAGAGGGAGAGAGAGAGCGGGAGCGAGAGAGAGCAAGCACTCTTTGATTTGCTGGTTCACTCTACAAATAGCCACAATGGATGGGGCTGGGGCTGAGGCTGGGCCAGGCCAAAGCCAGGAGCCTAGTGCTCCATCTGGGTCTCCCACATGGGTGCAGGGGCCCAGTCTCTTGGGCCATCTTCCTCTGCTTTCCCAGGCACATTAGCAGGGAGCTGGATTGGAAGTGGAGCAGCCAGAACTAGAACTGGTGCTCTGATATGGGATGCCTGCGTTGCAGGTGGCAGCTTAGCTTACTGCGCCACGATGGTAGTCCCAGGAGCCAAACCCTGAGGAAGTAGGATTTCCCCAGGCACACAGAGGGGCGGTGGTGGAGGGAGTGTGTGAGCAGGGCTGGAGGCAGGAGGTGGCTGGCTGAGTAGATAGATAGGAGGGCTCTGGCAACAGAGGGCCCTGGGTGCGAGGCCTGGGCACTTACCCCAGGCAACTGAGGACTCTCTGGGAAAAAGACAAAAATCAGAGTTGGCTTTTGAAAAGCTTGCTCTGACCTTGAGGAGGACCAGCATAGTGGACCGTGGAAGGACGGGAGGCCAGTGGAAGGCTGCTGTGACGAAGCCAGGAGGCTGGAAATGGGGCCATGGCAGGGACAGGCCATTGTTTGGCAGACAAAAGGCCCAACCCAAATTACCTGTCGGCTTAAGGACGGGACAAACCAACTTGACCTTAATGGCAGAGGCAGGCGGCTGCCTGTGCTGGCAGTGATTCCCCAGAAGGTCCTTGCCCCAGGATTTATCTGCAAGTTCAGGACTTGTTTGACAAACTCAGAGGATCTGTTCTGAGTGAGTGCAACCTAAAATCTCCCGTGTCCAAAGCAGTGTCTTCATAAGAAATCCGTCAAGGAGGGGCTAGGGAATTAGCCACAGTGGGAATATATTACTGGGGTCTTCAGGGAGTTCGTGGAAATGCATATTATGAAAAAACTATGTCCAGGCTTCAGTTATTCTTAACACCAAAATAGACTTATCTTGTAATTCCATTTTCCACGAATGTTTTGAAGTTCCCATGCGTAAATGTCTCTGTTCACCTTGAAGTGTGTAGGACGAATGATAGCGCAGAGCTGGGGGTTTGAGCATCCTGGAGGTCCTCTTTGCTAGAAGCGGAGGTTCCCGGGCCGTCCTAGAGTACTGACTCTCCTGCAGAGCCTGCTCAGGCACTTTTCCCTCTGAACAAAGTCGGAAGGCGCCAGCTTCTCTCAGCAGATCCCCCCGCAGCTCCTAAACCACAAAAGTGAACTCCACAGTTGCAGTGGACGCTGTGGCCACACTAGCTCACCGTGGGGGACAGGCGCGTCCATGGACAGGTGTGGGGTGAGCAGCTGTCACCTCTGCAGGGGCCAGCGAGTCTGCCACCCTGCCCAGTGCTCTGGGCGATGGCAGCACCTGTGGCTCCCCAAGGCATTTGCCTGTCGCACCCCGTGATGCCCATCCGGGTCTACGTGGAAAGTACACGGGCCCCAGATGGTGGTAAACCGAGACTCGCCCTGTGTTGGCTGTCATGTGCGGAAGGTGGCATGAGCCTTACGAAGGAGAGGAAAGCATCCGGCTTTTCTTGTGCATCCGAGGTCCAGCCCCCTCCTAAATGATAATGGACAGCTCCATTGCCTTATCAGCTGGATGCTAATTCTGGCCGCCTCATGGGGCTGTCCTGGGATTTAGTCCGGGGGCAATCTGCCGACCGTTCCGAACAGGAAGCTTCTTCCGGACAGCTCAGGGCCTAATGGTCATCGCTTTCCTTACAGGATTCTGTCGACTGCTGGGAAGTATCTCTCTGACTCCTACAGCCCTCGGAGCCTGGCCGGCTTTCAGGAGAGCATCCTGGCGGACAAGAAGAGCTCTGCCAAGAACCCCTGGCAAGAATATAATTACCTGCAGAAAGACAACCCTGCTGAATACGCCAGCTTGATGGAGATACTTTATACTCTCAAGGTGTGAGACGAGACGGGTGGCTCGCCGGCCAGCGAACGCAGTTTCCTTGTTATTGACCCAGACTTCCTGGCTCTGCGTGGGGGCCCCGAGCTGTGCCGTGCCACCTCTTCCTGTCTCATCTGTGTTGGGGCTTTTGTCTGTTTGTTTGCTTTGTTTTTAAGATACATGTTTATTTGAAAGGCAGAGCTATATAGAGAGATCTTCTATCTGCTGGCTCACTCCCCAAATGGCCACAACAGCCAGGGCTGCGCCAGACTGAAGCCAGGAGCTTCTTCCAGGCCTCCCACGTGGGTGCAGGGGCCCAAGCATTGGGCCACCTTCCACTGCTTTCCCAGGCCACAGCAGAGAGCTGCATCGGAAGCGGAGCAGCCAGGGTGCCCATGTGGGATGCCAGTGTTGCAGACGGCAGCTCTATCTGCTACGCCATAACACCAGCCCCTGTGTCAGAGTTTTAAGGAGCTAATCAACAAAACTGGGTTGAAGCCCACTGAGGAATGGATCGAAGAGTTGGATGGATGGATCTTTATTGCTGATAAAAGCCAGGTTGGAGAATGGTGCTTTAGAACTGTGGCGAGAGGAGTTTGCTGTATTCACTCCAGAGTTGAACTTGTCAAGAGGACAGGCGGAGCTGTTCGGTCCCCCTTTACCCAGTGACAGAGACGGGCCAGACAGGTACTATGTGTGGGTAGGCAGAAGCCATGGGAGGGAACTCCAGCGAGGCTGTAGCGAAGTCGCTGCTCTTTACGTACGCAGGGGAGGAGGAGGTGAATAGAGATGGGGAGCCTCCCCAAGTGCAAGTTCCTCCCATGGAAGTGTGAGGACTTGGCCATGAGAGTTCCCTCCTAGTTTTTTCTTTAAATCTTAGTTTGTCTCCCATAAAACTGTGTTTGACTTTGAGCTTTGGAACCTGAGAGCTCTAGAGCCAGAAGTTCCCAACAAATGGAACGAACCATGCAAATGGAATGGCCCCAGGGTGGTGAGAGGGCCGTGGGTACCCTTTCCACGGCATCCCCTACCAGCCTGGTCTGGTTTGACGACCCCCCCCCCACACTTTGTTGGCAAAGGGAGAGGGGACTTTGTTGCTTCCACACCACAAATGCAACCTAAACTTTCCCAGGGCCTAGAGCTCTGGGGTGAACCGCACGAGGCGCCTGGGCTGTCTGAGGGTCCAGCGTTGCCCTCCTGGGTCTCCCCTTCTCTCTGCACCTTGGCTCTCCAACTGGCTACATTTGAACTTGACAAACACACTACTTAAATCAGTTCTGTAAACCTGTTCATCCATGCCTCTGTGATCAAGTTAAAACAACTCTGTTTATCTTTATTGCTTATCTGATTTATGCCTGTGGTAATCAGTTCATTTATAATAGCAAAACTAAGGTTACATTTTCCATCTCCATGTTTTCTCAGGCTGTTTGGCATTCCTTGGGACTCACACGGGCTGTGCCTACTCTGGCTGTCAGCCGAGTGTAACTGACCTGACCTCCCTGGCAACCAGGGCTCTGCCCATCACTCTTGTTTATCCTGAAGCTTCTCACCCCCTACCCCTTCCTCCCTGGTGGTCCATGAGCCTCAGAAGCTCCTGGGAGAGTGAATTAGAAACAGAGTCCTGGGTGCCCGCCGCAGTGGACCGTGTCGCAGAGGTTCTGGGGCTGGAGCTCGCGCACCTGCGCGGCTGCACTGCAGCGTGTCTGGGAGCCGCTGTCCTCTCCCTCCGAGCTTTCAGACTGTACCCAGCCGATACCTGGGTTGGATTCAGGGCCTAACAAACTGCCTTTTGCATTTTCTTGTCTTAGGAAAAAGGGTCCAGCAATCACAACCTGCTGGCCGCCCCTCGCACAGCCCTGACCCGGCTCAACCAGCAGGCGCACCAGCTGGCTTTCGATTCCGTTTTCCTGCGCATCAAACAGCAGCTGCTGCTCATTCCCAAGATGGACGTGAGTGCCCGCCGCCTCCCCCGCCCCGGCCCAGGCCAGGGGCCGCCTCCTTCTCCAGCGTGTTCCTTAAAGCTTAACCTTCCCTGCCCCAAGAGCGTTGAGGGCTTCGCCTTCACTCCCCTAGGCTGGAAAGGGGCAGTTGGTCCTTTCAACTCCAACGTCTTATCTCAATTGCAGTTAATCAGATGTTTTATTCCCGGGCTGTTAGGATTATTACTGTGTTCTGGGCCTTTCTGGGGGAGGTGGGGGAGATGGTGTGGCTCTGCAGGGGCCGGGCCGGGTCAGAGGAGCTGATGGTCTGCTGCGATTGCACAGTTTTCCGGCCAGAGTTGGTTCTGGGACTCGACTCCGGAGAGCGCCGGATCAGATCTGGTCACGTGTTTCCGAGGGGGGCTTTCACGGCTTCTGCTGCTTTCTTTCCTTGATGCCTTTTCTGTTTGGCTGCTGCAGCGTCATCTCCCCTTCCTTGCCCTGCACCCTCGTTGCGTCCCTTCCACAGCTGTGCGGATTGTTTTTGAAGGCTGGCTCTGCCTGCTTTGTCCCCCTGGTCTGGATCTCGCCGCTCTCTTTGTTTTGGGGGGACTACCAGGTGGGACTTCTCAAGTGCACTTGGTTTCCATGTGGGGGAAGATAGTCTTTGGGGAAAGATCCAGTTACAGGCCTTTGGGAACCAAGAAGCACTTTGCTATCTGCTGTCCCGCAGGAAGCCCACTAGGCTGGGGGTCAAGGGCCACTGTGCCGCTGAGGTCAAGTCTCCTCCCCGCTCTGGGTCTCCGACTCTCCATCCATAACCTGACTCTGAAAGTTTAAATAACAACTCCGAGGTTCTTTCTGCCCCTGATTTCCATTCTCTGTGCTTTTTCTGTGCGGAATGTTATGATATCTACTCCCATCAGATTTTTGCATTTCTGCATGGAGAGGGAGGGTGACAGTGGAGGGGAGCTGTGGCCTCGCCCTGTAGCCCTCCCTCTCCTCCTCTGTACAGTGGGGATACGATGTCCCTCCTCACGTAGGTTGGTGAGATTTTGTGTAAGGTGGAATTTAGCATGGCACCAGCCACACAGTGGATGCTTAACAAGTGACCATCTTCTTCCTCTCTGTGATTTTCATTTTTTAAGATAAATGATTTAGTTGATTTTTTTCAACAAAAAATTATATTTATTCATTTTCAGAAACTCAAGCAATTCAGTACAGAAAAAATGTAATAAATCCCTTCAAAAACCCCCATCTAGAAGCAAACAATGTAAACATTTGGTGTCCAGCCATCTAGTCATTGCCTCCCACCCACTCAAACACTGGCTAAAAGCTAAATGGGCATCAATAGACAGGTAGGTACGCAGGGAACAATGTAACTGTGTCACACTTGTGATTTTTTAAAGTTTTATTCTATTTATTTGAAAGGCAGAGTTACAGAGAGACAGAGATCTTCCCTCCTCTGGTTCACTCCTCATACGGCTGCCAACAGCCAGGGCTGGGCCAGGCTGAACCCTGGGCCAGGATCTCTGTACAGGTCTCTCAGGGGCCCAAGCACTTGGGCCATCTTCTGCCTTCTCGGGCACGTAAGCAGGGAGCTGGATCAGAAGCAGGGCAGCTGGGATCCCAACCAGCACTCACATGGGATGGCGTTCTTGCAGGCAGTGGCTTAACCTCCTGTGCCACATCGCTGGCCCCACATGCTATTTTCTTTTTAATTTCTTTCCCTTTTAAAAAAGATTTATTTATCTGAAAGTGAGCAACGTAGAGAGGGAGCGACAGAGAGATTATCTATCTACTGGTTCACTCCCAAATGGCCACAACAGCCAGGTCTGGGCCATACTGAACCCAGGAGTCCAGAACTCCATCCTGGCCTCCCACATGGATGGCAGGGGCCCAAGTACTTGGTCCATCATCTGCCGCCTTCCCAGGTGCATTAGCAACAAACTGAATTCCAATTCAGTTTCCAAGCAGTGTGGTCAGGACTCAAACGCACACTTTGATAGAGGATGGTGGCACCCCAGTTGAGGCCACAACACCGGCCCCTATGCATGCTATTTTTAAAAAATGTACACAATGTAAGTTTTATTGGAATTTTTAGAACAAAAGAGAGACGAAATAAAATGAAAAAGGGTTATTAAACTTGAGATACTGTTTCTTCACTCCAGAAAATAGTAGCTCCCAAGGGTCTCCATTTTAAAAACAATGAAGAGAGCAGGGTCCTTGCTCTCTGCCCTGGACATTGACAGCTGACTCACCTGCTCTGAAAGGGGAAGGCCTTGGCATTTCCTCTGTTGTACACCAGAGTTAATTGCTGTTATTATTTTAATTTTGTCCAAGCTTAGGACACGCACCTCCTCAGTGCCTCCCACCTGTCCTTTGTTGCACCTGCATTGCACCTGCATCCCAGGTTCACAGCTATGACTCAGTTCTTGGTGGCTGGGATCTCCCCTTCTCAGCTCCCCCAGCCACACCCTGACCCGAGGGCCCCTGGGAATGGACCTGGGCCGCTTTGGAGATTAGGGGCAGCTCTTGGTGGGGGGCAGGGAGGGCAGCCAGCACACAAGCTCACAATGCAAAGGCAAACACTTGGGGCTGAAGGATTTGGAAATTGAACCCGGCTCAAGAAATGCTTGTGTTTAACATTTGCTGGTAAATCATATTGCCCTTTTATAACATGAGACGATAAACCAACACCATATTCAGTTTCAAAACGGGCTATTGACATTTGCCGATATTGCCTGGTGACAGATGAAGAGAAAAGCCCGTTTGAAGGCCATTCTCAGTGCGCATTGAGCGATTATGAAGTGTTCTTTGGTGTTTCCCTGTTGCCACTCCAGCTCGCCTCCCTGCCTGAGGCTGCTCCCCTGGCTGCCCTTCCACGCCTCCTGCTCCTTGGGGCCTGGCCTCCTGCCTGGGCCTTTCCCAGGGCCCTCAGCCCACAGCGCCCGTCCACTGGGTGGGCGGGGAGATGCTGTTCTGCACTCGCTCCTGCCCTGCCCCTGACCTTGCTGCTGGTCTCCTGAGAACCACTGCTCAGGCCACCACTCGGCTTCCCTGCCTGCCACCGCTGGGGCGCGCCCACTGCCCCTCTGCCTACAAACCACCAGGAGTCCGGTTCCTTCCCGTTCTCGGTGTCCCCCCGACCCTGCCCCAGCTCAGGTTCTCATCATCCCTGGATGGATTCTGACCCTCGCCTCTGCTCTGCACCCCTGGTCCCAGCCAGAGCCATGGCCTGCATCTTCACAGAGCACTGCTCCGAGTCCCTTTCTCCCCCGCGTCCCCAGGGCCAGGCTGATTAGTCTGTATTTGCAAACGTTTTACCGGGGGAAATTCGCGTACACGCACACGAGGAGAGAGAAGAGGAGGAGGAACTCTGTAAACTCATCCCTGCTTCAACGGCCATCACCTCCTGGCCATCCCCTTTCATACCTCCCATATCTAACATAAGAATCCCAACACCGTAACCACCCCTAAAATAAGGAAACAAATCCCGCCTGATCCTCGGTGAGCGATAACATTTTCAGGCGTCTTAGGAGTGTCCTGATGCGTTTTCACTGAGCCAGGATCCAGGATCCTGCACGTTGCGATTGACCTGCCTTCTGCGTCTCTCTTGAACACCGTATTTCCCCTCCCTCACCCTTTCTCTCTTTTTTTGCCCTTGTAATTCATTTGTTGACTGTAAAGCCTTTTCTTTTTTAAATATTTTTTTTATTTATTTTGAGGGGTAGAGTTATATACAGTGAGAGGGAAAGACAGAGAGAAAGGTCTTCCATCCGCTGGTTCATTCCCCAAATGACCACAATGGCCAGAGCTGAGCCAATCCAAAGCCAGGAGCCAGGAGCTTCTTCCAGGTCTCCCATGTTGGGTGCAGGGCCCTGGACTTGGACCATATTCTGCTGCCTTCCCAGGCCACAGCAGAGAGCTGGATTGGAAGTGGAGCAGCCGGGACTAGAACTGGTGTCCATATGGGATTCCCACACTGCAGGCAGAGGATTAACCTACTGTGCCACAGTGCCAGCCCCTGTAAAGCCTCTTCTTAGCCTTATGTTCAGAGCTGAGCCTTACTCCAGTCTCTCCAGTCTTTTTTTTTTTTTTCCCCAAAGATTATTTGAATGTCAGAGTTAGAGAGAGAGGGAGAGAGAGAGATCTATCCACGGGTAAACTCCCCAGATGGCTTCAATAGCCAGTGCTGGGCCAGGCTGAAGCCAGGCACTTCATCCAGGCCTCCCACGTGGGTGCTGGGGCCCAAGGACTTGGGCCATCCTCCGCTGCTTTCCCAAGAGCATTAGCAGGAAACTAGATCAGAAGCAGAGCAGCCAGACCTGAACTGACGCCCTTATGGGATGCCGGCATCAGAGGCAGCAGCTTTACCTGCTACTCCACAGCCCTGGCCCCTCCCAGGCTTATTTCAGGTGACTGTAGCCAGCCCCTTTCTCATCATCTTGAGCTCTTGCTCTCTCAACGTCTCCTGGGTACAATCTGGCGTGTGGAAGCCTGCATGTGTGCAGGCGTGGAGGGCAGGGGGCATGACGGTTGGTGGGGGGATGCAGGCCGGGGGCTCGCTGCCCCCAAGTAGTTTACTTTTCTCGGTCTCCTCTCTGCAAAGCCAAGCGTGAGGCGCTGTGCAACCTGGGTTCGTATTGGTGAATGAGGCTGGTTGGAGTGTTCCTTCCCGGTGGGCTGCGAACTGATGGGAGAATAGGAAGGATGTTTTCACCTGAAAGAGGATGCTCAAGCATGAACAAGGAGTCTGGGAAACTGCCAGTCAGGGCAGGGCATGGTGCTGGGGAGTAGGGCCAAGCCTGCCCAGCTCGCTCGGGCTCCGCATCCCAGAAGGCGACTTAAAGGATCAAGCAACTGGATCCGACATCAGGCAGCCTTAGAGAGCAGCCCCAGCCCGGCTGCAGGAGTCCCTCACGGAGTTCTGCCAGACAGGGCCTTGTTCCTCAGGCTGGCTTTAGAGGGGGCTTGGGTGGGAATCAGGAAGCGAGATTTGCACGCAGAGGTGTGCAGAGCTGAAGTCCGTAAACACGTAAACACGGGTGTGCTGCTGACATAGCTAAGTGCGTGCAGAGAGCTGAGGAGGCCCCAGGACACCTGACTTCATCTCTCAGGAAGCTCACACTGGTGCTGGGGCTCACCTCGGACAGAGGGACAGCTGCCAGGGCTTACAGGTTCCGTTGAGAAGTGGATCCAGGTGGCAGGGAGGAATAAGTCAGCAGCTTTGAATGTAGGAGACGTCGGTGCCCCCAGCAGAAGGGGCTCAAGTGTGTTCCCTGTGGTGCCTGCAGGGCTCCTGCTCCTGCTGTCCTCCAAGGGCTGGAGGCCCAGGGTGAGTGAGGCTGCCCGGGTCAGCCCCTTTGTACCCTGGTTCCAGCAGGTGGAGAAACTCAGACCAAGAATCCTGTCTCATTTCGCATCCTCAGCGAGATAAACAAAAGGCATGCGTTCCTACCCTGTAGTTCAGAGGAGGTGGGGTTCCTGTTTTAGGGATCTGCAGGAGTGCAGAAACAAGGAAACAGTCCTTTCTCTGTAGGCTTCAGAAGATCGGAAGAGAAGTGCCTGGGTGCTGAGCGGGGGTGGTTCGGAGGGCAGCCTTGGCAGGGCAGCCGCTGTGTCGTGCGTTTTCACGGGAAGTCCCGCCCCCATGACACCCCCCAGGCTGCCTGGGTGCTGTGGTGGTGACCGCCGCCTCTGCTTCCCTCCCCAGAGCTGGAACACAGCTGGCATCGGAGAAACCCTCACGGACGACCTGCCCGCCTTCAGCCTCACGCCTCTCGAGTACATCAGCAACGTAAGGGCTGCTCGGTGCTCTCCAGGGTGGCCGTAGAGTTTCAGACCGCACTTTGAGGTTCTAGGGCTACAGCGTTCCAGGCTCTGTGCTGAGTGCTTTCATGTTTAGCTACACAGCAGCAAACGGATCTCCTAGAAGAAATTGTGGGTTAGAGAGTATCGCTGGTTAAGGAGAACAGAGTGAGCCCTGTGGAGGCCTTCCTGCCTTCCCAGCACCCCTGGGAACTGAGTCTCCCGGACCACCTGCGCGTGGCCTTTCCTTGCATTCCTTCCAGCGGGTGCCCCTGAGTGCCAGGCTCTGAAATCTCACACGGTGTCGTCTGCCTTGTGCCTTCACCCGAGAACCCAAGCCCTGTGTGCCTCCGTTGTGGAGCTATCAGGGAATTTTTGTAAAAAATATTTATTTATTTATTTATTTATTTGAGAGGTAGAGTTACAGACAGTGAGAGGGAGAAACAGAGAGAGAGGTCTTCCCTCCGTTGTTTCACTCCCCAAATGGCCGCAATGGCCAGAGCTGCGCAGATCCAAAGCCAGGAGCCGGGTGCTTCTTCCATAACGTTCATCTCATGGATACTTAACTCTATCAGCCAAAGTCAGAATAGGGTCTTCTCAGTGTGGCTCCATGCACATGTACCCGGGAGCAGAGCCCTCTCCCGGTGTGGAGGCCAGAAGTTAATGCAGACTCCAAAGTCTGCCCAGACCCGAGAGCTCTGAGGTGATCCAGCCTCGTTTCCACTTACTGTGCCCTGGCTGTGGTCGGGCTAAACATCCCACGGCCCACAGTGCTGCCAGAAAGTTATTAGCTTGAGCTCCCTCTAATCAGGTATCCAGCCAGTTACAGGAAATTAAATTGGAATTTCTTTTTCTTTCATTTGCTTAGTATAGTCTTTCACTCAGAGTAGGCACATGACAACTTATCTGACTTCAAAAAGATTATGGAAAATGGAATTAAAAGAAATTTATTTGGGTACGAAATATTTTTAAATCTCTTGCCTAGTTTTTTCATGATACACATTTTCTGTGAACTTTTTGATGTACTCTGGTATAATTTACAAACTACTATTGATTTTTTTTAAAAGATTTATTTATTTATTTATTTGAAAGGTGGAGTTACAGAGAGGCAGAGGCAGAGAGAGGTCTTCTGACCCATTCCCCAAATAGCCTCAGTGGCCAGAGCTGTGCCGGTCCGATGCCAGAAGCTTCATCTGGGTCTCCCACATGGGTGTATGGACCCGAGGAGTTGGGCCATCTTCTACTGCTTTCTCAGGCCATAGCAGAGAGCTGGATCAGAAGTGGAGCAGCCAGGACCTGAACCGGCTCCCATATGGGATGCCAGCACTATGGCGCAGCGGGTTAATGCCCTGGCCTAAAGCGCCAGCATCCCATATGGGCACCGGTTCGAGACCTGGCTGCCCCACTTCTGATCCAGCTGCCTTCTATGGCCTAGGAAAGCAGTAGAACATGGCCTGGGTCCTTGGCTCCTGGCTCCTGGCTTTGGATTAGCACAGCTCCGGCCGTTGCGGCCATCTGGGGATTAAACCATCGGATGGAAGACCTCTCTCTCTCTCTCTCTCTCTTTCTCTCTCTCTCTCTGCCTTTCCTCACTCTGTGTAACTGTGACTTTCAAATAAATAAATCTTTAAAAAAAAGAAATTATTAATTAAAAAAATTTTTTTTGAAAATTTATTTGAAAGGCAGAATTACAGAAAGAGGGAGAGAGAGAGAGATCTTCCATTCACTGGTTCAACCCCCAAATGGCTACAATGGCTGAGACTTGGCCAGGCCAAAGCTAGGAGCCAGGAGCTTCATCTGAGTCTCCCACGTGGATGTTGGGGCCCAAAGACTTGGGCCACCTTCTGCTGCTTTCCCAGGCACATTAGCAGGGAACTGGATCGAAGTGGAGCAGCTGGGAGTCAAACTGGTGCCCATATGGGATGCTGCCGTCACAGGTGGAGGCTTAACCTCCTATGCCACCGTGCCAGCCCCTACCACTGATACTTTTTTGGCCTCAGCATTAGCACACACTGGCAAGGTCAGACCTGGGGCTGCCCAGGCCTGGCAGTTTTGTGTCTCTGGAGTTTGTGCCTTTGCAGGTGGGGCCACGTGAGGTAACGGCCTGTGTGCATCAGTCTCGGGCTAAAAGCACTTCCTTTTGTTTCAGATCGGGCAGTACATCATGTCTCTGCCCCTGAACCTTGAGCCGTTCGTGACCCAGGAGGACTCTGCCTTGGAGCTGGCCCTGCACGCCGGAAAGCTTCCGTTTCCCCCCGAGCAAGGTGAGCAAGGACCAGGGCGCCACCCCTGCTCCTCCAGGAGCTGTGCGCACAAGGCAGGATTTGGGTGCTCATGTCAGGACCCTCGCCCTTCAGCACGCCTGCATTGCTCACGAGAACTAGGGGTGGAGGGAGGCTAGGGCCCACCCATTGCACCCTCAGAATTCTGGCCAGGCTGGATTAGAGAAAGGACCGGCCTGGCCTTGTTTCACCATATGCAGAGCATCCCTGGGGGGCAGCGGCTCCTTCAGGGAGCTCCAGAGTCCCTCAGTGGGGAGGCAGTGAGCAGAGGGCCCAGCACCTCCACTCAGTGGTGGTGGAAGTGAGCTCACAGGGCAGGGTCCCCCCGAGCACCCAGGGGGCCCCGCGAGGTGAAAAGTGACACCTTCCAAGAATGGGTTTCCTTGTTAGGTCAAGCATCAGCTGTTCAGTAGAGAAGTGGCATTTCCTGTCCAGCTGCCTCTGGCTGTCCCTTGCCCCCAGCTCCCCAAGGCTTCTGAATCTCTCAGCTGACAAGGCAAACATACAATAAGTTAAATATTTCCTTGTTCTTGTTCTCTGGGCCTGACAGATCTGAACAGGGACCATATGCTTGCCGAGCAAGAATCATCTTGATTGCTAGTACACTGGGCTGTATAAGTCCTCCGCTGAAAGGTAGCAAAAAAAAAAAAAAAAATCATCGCTTAGTAAGAGGAACAGAAGGAGTAACCACGTGCATCACAAGGTTACAGGTCAAGGGTTGCTGGAAGGTTTCCCACACAAATCCAGATACGGAGAACGCAACACAACTGCATGACTGATCAATGAAGTGCAGTTCAAATCAGAAGATAGTCAGTGGGATCTGAGTGATCCTTTGATGCTGCCAACGTTGCAGGGGGAGCCTGTGGTGGCCAGGCGCCCGTCACGGTGCGCACAGCGCCGAGATGCACGAGAGGACCTGCCAGACACCTGAGGCTCCAGATGCACACTGGTGTGGAGAAAACCCCCTCCCCCTCCCGTAGGCAGATCGAAAGGAACAGTTGGGGAGAATCAACGAGGACTCGGATTGGGATACTTGACTTAACCTACACATTAGCGGAGAGTAGACATTGCTGTCAGTGCCATTTGTAGAAGTGGTACAAATAAAAGCTCCATCTGTTTCTTAGGATCAGAGAAGGATACTCAGGATATTATTTTTTGGAAGAATACTATTTGTAGCTCAAGTTTAAAATGTGAAGCTTGCTAAACTAAAATATGTTCGAATACTGATAAACAGTGAAGGATAGGGAAGGGAAGACACTTTAAAATGAAAGAAGCAGTAAAAATACTGAAAGGCAGGTGATAACCTGGAAGAAACAGCAACATACATGACCAACGATGGTGAATACAAGTGCTCTTGTCTTATAAAAGGTCTTGCAGACATTGTAAGAAAAAGGCAAACATCCCACAGGAAAATAATTCAGTTACACAAAGGCATTCAAATAGCCTAAAAACATAGGAAGACACATTTAACTTCATTAATCCTCTAATCACTGCAAATGAAAATATATACCATTTGATAACCTCTCGGACTGTGTGTGCATGTGTGTGTGTGTGTGTGTGCGTGTGTGTGTGTGTGTGTGAATGTTGACACATAATGTTGGCAAGCATGCAGGATACAACTTGATTGTACATTTGGATTTGTCAGGGTTCTTGACGTAAGATCAGGAGCCTTAAAGCTACACACACCTTTTAGGTCAGGAGCTTGCTGGTAGATAGCCACATTAATAAAATAATCATGAATGTAACTCTATAAATGTTCACCCCAACGTTGTTTATAAAAGCAAAACATTGGAGAAAATGTGAGAAACTGTAGATATTGTTACATCTAAAATATATTATTAAACAAAATCAGAATATCCATATAGCGACATGTTGGACAGCTGTTACAATGATACAAAGAATATTCAGTGGAACCACAGCTGTGGCGCAGTGGGTAAAGCCGCTGATGCAACACCAGCATCCCATGTGGACGCTGGCTTGAGTCCCAGCTGCCCCGCTTCTGATCCAGCTGCCTGCTAATGCGCCTGGGAAAGCAGTAGAGGACGGCTCAAGTCCTTAGGCCTCTGCATCCACGTGGGAGACCCAAATGAAGCTCCTTGCTCCTGGCTTTGGCCTGACCCAGTCCTGGCCAGGGGGACCATTTGAGGAGTGAACCAGTGGATGGACGATCTCTTTGTCTCTCTCTCTCTCTCTTTATAACTCTGCCTTTCAAAGAAATAAATCTTTTTTTTTTTTTTTTTTAAAAGAACATTTAGTGACTAGGAAAGATGCGTAGTAGGTGTGAGGCACATAGCTGTGGTGTGATTCCGTTTGAAGAACTGGTGTGAATACAGATGTGAGAAGGAACGACTCAGGGCTTCCCTCCACCTCTAAATGCCCACACCCACTTCATTGTGGCTTGGCGTCTGGACAGAGTGGTGGCGTGCATGTCCTTCGTCTGTTTTTACTCCTAGTTGTAGATCCTGGAACCTCTTCCATCTGGGCCCCCACATACATTTAGGAGGCTCTTCCTAGTGACATGGTTATAACCCCGAACCAGAAGCAACCCAAATGCCACTCAGCTGTAGCATGGATGCATATGTTAGGATGTAGTCGTGCAAGGAAATATTAAATGTGGATCAACCACGGCTTCCCATAATGACATGGGAGAGACTCACAGTCAGACTGTCGAGTGAAATCACAGATTCCCTGCCACCTGCCAAAGCGAGATGGCACGCTGGGGCACATGCACGGGGAGAGGCTGCCGGGCAGGCAGGGGAGGCGGGGGGAGGGGGAAGGGGGGCTGTGCTGCGTGTGCTTGGAGGGCACAAGGACGTGTCCAGGTACTGACAGGGTCGTCCGGGCACTGGCGGGGTCGTCCGGGCACTGGCGGGGTCATGCAGGCACTGGCGGGGTTGTCCGGACACTGGCGGGGTCTTCCGGGCACTGGCGGGGTCCTTGTTCTTGCCCAGGGAGGGTAGCAGGGCTGTTAGGTTCTGCCGTGTGTGGAGGGGCTTTGAGGAGTGTGTGGCAGATGCATGCTGTAGGCAGACTGTGCATGCATTTCAAAACTTCTCCAAATAAGCTTCCTTTTGAATTCCACTTCCCCCTTCCTACGATGCATCTCATGAGGCAAAGAAGGCAGCCGAAGAGCAGTCCGTGCTGCTGGGAGAGCAAAGCGGAAAAGGCTTCCCAGGGCAGCGCTCGCAGCTGTCTCCGCCCACCCACCCTTCCGGCTGCAGCAGCCCCTGCTCCAGGGTCGCTTCTAGACACCCACGTGCTGTGGCGAGCGGGCCCGCGGCAGAGGGCTTGGTAATAGCACAGAATTCAGAACCAGCCAGATGCTCGCGTCTACTTACTTGGAAAGCAGTTAAATGAGTTGTGATGGATCTGCATCATCAATTTTCTCCTTTTTTTCAAAAAAAAAAAAAGAGAGATTTACTTATTTCCATTTCCTTACTTGAAAGAGGGAGAGGAGAGGGATCTGCCAAGGCCAGGAGCCCGGGACTCCATCCAGGTCTCCCTCATGGCTGCAGGGGCCCAAGCACTCGAGCCATCCACGGCTGCTTTCCCAGGCTCACTAGCAGGGAGCTGGATCCAAAGCAGAGCAGCTGGGACTCGAACTGGCAGTCTGATGTGGGTGCTGGTGTTACAAAGCAGTGGCTTAACCCGATGTGCTGCAGGGCTGGCCCCGTGCCACTTCTCTTTATAAGAAATGAGAACTATTTTTATCTGTAGCTAAGATCTTCAAAAACATTCATAAAAAAGAGCAGAATGCAAAGCAATATATGATAATCTTTTTTTTTTTGTTTTGTTTTTGTTTTTTGAGAGTGGGCAGTGAGAGAGAGAGAGAGAAAGGTCTTCCTTTTGCCATTCGTTCACCCTCCAATGGCCGCCGCGGCTGGTGCGCTGCGGCTGGCGCACCGCGCTGATCCGATGGCAGAAGCCAGGTGCTTCTCCTGGTTTCCCATGGGGTGCAGGGCCCAAGCACCTGGGCCATCCTCCACTGCACTCCCGGGCCACAGCAGAGAGCTGGCCTGGAAGAGGGGCAACCAGGACAGAATCCGGCGCCCCGACCGGGACTAGAACCCGGTGTGCCGGCGCCGCAAGGCGGAGGATTAGCCTAGTGAGCTGCGGCGCCGGCTAATATACGATAATCTTTATGCTTTGAATAATCCCAACTCGTACACTCTCTAGGTACACAGGCATGCGAAAGCACTGAAACGTTTTCCAGCTTGGTATGTGTGGGGCAATACGTACCAAGCTGGTCACAGTGGTCCGCTCTGGGCAAGATTTTTAGAATTTTATTTATTAGAGAGACAGAGAGACGTCCCACCCCATCCACTGGTTCAGGTGCCCAGGTTGGCCAGGGCTATGCCCGGAGCTAGAGCCCAGAGCCAGGAACTCCGTCCAAGTCTCCCACACGGGTAGCTGGAGTTACCACCACTGCCTGCCAGGGCCTGGTGGGCAGACAGCCGCAGTCAGGACCTGAGGACTGCACTTGGGCACTCGGTGTGGGACCCTGGGGGCTTCACCAGGCAAGAGCCCACCCTGCCAGTCACTCTGCTTTCCATTATACTTCCATATTGCCAGGATGTTTTTAATAATAATATATCTCCCTCTTTCAAAAATATATGTACACCAAAAGGTGGAACATGGTTATTGAAGGGCTGTGAGGTTATGCGAATGATTTTGATTTTAAATGTGTTTGCTAATGTACTTTTTAGATGAAAAAAATTTAAACCTTTTTTCATAGGAATTTTCACATACATCCCCAGTACACACCTAGTACACACCCGGTACACACCCCAGGTACTCAGCTTCAAGAATGGCTTCTTTATATTCCTCTTGCCATTTTTGCTTGAGTATTTAATCAGCTCTCAGGTATCGTGTTATTTCCTTCAGAGATACTTCATTGTGCATTTTTTAAAAGATTTATTTATTTGAAAGGCAGTGTATAGAAGGGGAGACACACACACACACACACACACACACAATCTGCCATCCACCGGTTTATTCTCCAAGTGGCTACAACATCGGCACTGCACCAGGACAAACCCAGGAGCCTGGAACTCCAGCCAGGTCTCCCATATGGACGCAGGGGCCCAGGCACTTGGGCCATCTTCCGCTGCTTTCCCAGGCCATTAGCAGGGAGCTGGATTGGAAGTAGAGCAGCCAGGACTGGAACAGGCACTCGTGGGATGCCAGTATCACAGGCGATGGCTTAACCCGATGCACCACAATGCCGGCCCCTACGTATTTCTTAATGAGAAAGATGAAATGCTGGTTTAACTTCTTTGGCAAGAAAACTGTTACAAAACATCAGGAAGAAGATAGCTTCTTGTTCCACTAAGCCTGCGTCCATACAAGGAACATGGAATTGTTTGTACTCATTCATCTACGCGTTTGTCCACTCACATAACTTGTGATTACCAGTGACTGACTACGTGCTAGGCACCGGGTTGGACATTATTAAGATGGCCCAACCACGGAGTCAGGCCCGAGCATGGTTGAAAGCATAGTAAGAGGAGGCCAATCTGGGAGTTTCCTTCCTCCCACCCCCAACATTTTGTGAGAAGTTTCAAACATACATCAAATTAGAAAGAACTATACAGCGAACATCCGTATATGATCTGGTGATTTCTAGTATTTTAATATTGCAAGTCTCAAGAAGCAGATGGTGAACAACCAGTAAGAACTCTTAGGTTTAGGTAAATGGCTCCTTCTGCTGTTTGAAAATATTTAATTAATTAATTAGAGAGACAGAGCTCCCATCCGCTGGTTCACTCCCCAGATGGCTGCAGTAGCCAGAGCTGGCCGATCTAGAGCCAGGAGCCAGGAGCTTCTTCCTGGCCTCCCTCATGAGTCCAGAGGCCCAGGGTCTTGAGCCATCTTCTGCTGCTTTCCCAGGCTTTTTAGCAGGGAGCTAGATCGGAAGTGGAGCAGCCGGGACTTGAACTGGCATCCATATGGGGTGCCAGCACTGCACTGGTGCCGGCACTGCAGCACCAGTACCCCCAAATGGCTTTTTCTACATAGAGGTTTAAAAAAACAAACAAAAACTTTGCAGTGTTTCTCCTACAAGGAAATAGACCTTTGAGAAAGTCAGAGTGTTCTAGGCCTGTCTCACACACAGTGAGTTACAGCAGAGCCTTTGGCAGGCGAGCTCTTGACTGTGACCCTGGCCTGGTCCTCGTCTTGGGTACAGAAACCCACACTTGGCCGGGAGTCCCTTGACGGCAGCCAGCAGCTGCCGTGGAGCTGATTGTGGGTCAAGGAAGAATGTGCTGTGGCGTGGAGGAGGCTCACCCACCCACTGTGGGCCTGGGCTAGGGGCGGGCGGGGGCAGACCCGCGCTGACCCTGCTGCTGCACACGGGACGCGGGACACCCCACCAGGTGTCCAGGCGGAAGCGTCAGCCCCACCAGGAATTGTGTGCAGAAATCCTTCCCCGCCCCTGGGGGCTGGAGTCACTCAGCCTCACCTGATTGCTTCCTTTTTTGCATCCTCGTCCGACTCGGCAGTGCCCGATGACCTAGGATTGCATTGGTCCCCATTTCCTGTGTTTCCTTCCTGGCGTGCTGTGGGCGGGGTCGCCCGGCCGGCTGATGTTTCCCCGAGCAGGTGCAGTTTCTTGGGTGACCCTCTTTCCCCTTCCAGGCGATGACCTGCCCGAGCTGGACAACATGGCCGACAACTGGCTGGGCTCCATCGCCAGGGCCACCATGGAGACCTACTGTGACGCCATCCTGCAGATCCCGGAGCTGACCCCGCACTCCACCAAGCAGCTGGCCACCGACATGGGTGCGTCCCCATGGGGTGGGAGCCGCTGTCCCTTCCCTCCGTCCTCCCCTCCGCCCCTCGCCCTGCAGGACTCTTGTCCCGAGTCCTCTCTGCACTTCAGCTCTGGGTTTGGCTGTGAAGCTGGCTGGGAAGGCACACTCGCCAGGCCCCACCCCCACACCGTCTGACTTAGCGCACACAGCGAAGCCCTGACGTGTGCAGTTTGAAAACCATCCTAGGGGATTCTGATCATTGAGGAGTGTTCAGTGAAGTGAGTCACGCAGCCTGGCTTTTGCTCCATTGATAGAATAATTACTAAGTAACATTTATTAAGCTACTACCAGCATACCAGGCATGCCAGGCGCAAAACCACAGGCTGTCCGTGCCCGTCATCTTGGGCAAGCCCACACTCCCCCAGGAGGCAGCTGCTACGTCCCTGTCCTGCTGGTCAGAAAGTGAGGCACAGAACCGTTGCATGACAAGGCCGTGGAGCAAAGGCCACCACCGGTCTCCACCAGAGCGCTGTCCTGCCTCTTAGTCAGAGGGCTGGGCCCCCTGCTCCGCCTGGCGCCAATGCTGAAGGGCTCGGAGCGTGGGGGAGCTGCTGGCACGTGGCAGGGGAGACTCCCAGACTCTGTTCTTGCACTGACTTGTCTGCGTGCCGCCCAAGGCAGCTCTTACGGTGGTCAGGAGAGAGGGTGGGGGAAGCCTGCTGCCCTGCCTTCCCGACCCCCACTAGCTTCATAGTCAGCCCCGAGCAATTAGCAGGGGGCCATTTCTCAGGGCCCAGCGTTCAGAGACGAGAGATGAGGACATTCACAGGCTCATCTGTGTTTCCTGTTAGGGCAGGCAGGCAGGAGCGCTGGGGAGAAAAGCGACCAGGCTGGAGGGTGACCTGTGGCTTGGGCAGTTGTCCGTGCTGCGCCTCCCTCCCTGGCGAGCTCCCCTCACTCAGCGCTGATTGGGCGCCTGCTGTATGCCGGGGGTAGTGCTGGGGTGGGATAGATCAAGGGCTCAGCCAGGGCCTTCCTTATGGGGCTTGTGAAGGGCAGGGCAGGTGAGGCGGGCGCGTGACGCCACCAGGGCGGGAGGGAGGCCACAGAGCGGTGAGGTCTGTGGCCGACTTGCAAGATGGTCAGATTAGACACCAGCATGGACGTAACGGAAACCACTGCTGGCCAAACCAGAACGTCACCGGCGACTGGGGGCTCCCATTTCCGCCTCCTGGCCTGCGGTCGAGTGCAGCTCGTGGGTCTGGGCTGACCAGCTGCAGCCAGTTTCCTCTGCCAGCAGCGCCCAGCTTGCCTGGCGGCTAGAATCCCTGTGGCTGCTCTTAGAAAGACAGGACCCTAGCCGGCACCGCGGCTCAGTAGGCTAATCCTCTGCCTAGTGGTGCTGGCACACCGGGTTCTAGTCCCGGTCGGGGCGCCGGATTCTGTCCCGGTTGCCCCTCTTCCAGGCCAGCTCTCTGCTGTGGCCCGGGAGGGCAGTGGAGGATGGCCCAAGTGCTTGGGCCCTGCACCCCATGGGAGACCAGGAGAAGCACCTGGCTCCTGCCTTCAGATCAGCGCAGTGCGCCGCCCGCAGCGCGCCCGCTGCAGCGGCCATTGGAGGGGTGAACCAATGAGAAGAAAGACCTTTCTCTCTGTGTCTCTCTCTATTGTACACTCTGGCCGGTGGAAAAAAAAATAAAAAAAAAAAAAAGGATCCCGCCCTGGAGACCCCCGTCCACTTGGACTGGGCTCCGAGCTCTGTATTTAGTGAGTGCGCCGGGGGTGCTGTGGGAAGCCTGCGACACTGGCTGCCACTGCCCGGCGTGTTCCTGACAGGAGCCTTTGGAAGCTGCTCACACAAGCTTCCTGCTCTCCAGTGGTCAGGCAGGGGGGCCCTGGGAACCCGGGGGCCCTGGCCTGGAGCCTCCTGGAAGGGCGCGTGTGCATCTTTGTGTATTCACATATGCATACGTGTGCACGTCTGTGTCTGTGTATGCGTGCGTGTGTTGGTAAAGGTGGGAGCAGTCATCGCTGCTAGTTCTTTATCTGAATTTCTGCACTCAGGCCAAGCTCACGGTCTGGGACGACCCTGTTGGAAGAACCCTCTGAGTGCAGGCCACCTGCCGAGGGCAGAGTGGGCGCCCAGCACTCGGAGTCTTGGGGGCAGAGGGCAGAGTGGGCGCCCGGCACTCGGGGACTTGGGGGACTTCTCTGCTTATTCCCCGGGGTGGGGGGCGGCTCTGGGGCTCTGCCCTGCCTGATGCGGTATCCTTGCCCTCCCGCCACCTGCAGACTACCTGATCAACGTGATGGACGCCCTGGGCCTGCAGCCCTCCCGCACCCTGCAGAACATCGTGACGCTGCTGAAGAGCAAGCCCGAGGACTACAGGCAGGCCAGCAAGGGCCTGCCCCGCCGCCTCGCCGCCACTGTGGCCGCCATGCGGGGCGTGACCTACTGAGGAAGCCACTCGGGCGCTGATGCCGCCGACGCGTCTCCCAGGAACTGGGTAGAGTGTGTCGCAGGGAGACTTGGTCCCTGTAGATCATTGCACAAAGACTGTAAAGTAGAGGTATACTATTTATTAGGCAGGACTTTTCAGCCCTCCCCCCCCAAGTGATCTGACCTTAAGAATGGGATGAGTACAGTGAAGTGAAAGATGTCCATCCCCTTCCTCCTTGCGTGAACACTTGAGCACCTCCCGCAGCCCTCCTGTGGCTCCCACGGGGTGGGAGGTGGCATTGAACGGGGGTGTGGGCGACCCCAAGACCTGGAGGTTGAGCAGTGGGGACCAAGGTCCCTGGGGGAAGAGGAAGAGGGGCCCAAGTCCGAGGGGGCCTCGCAGGCCAGGGTAAGGATTACGGCTTTCACATCCCCCTTTGTAAAAAATTTATAAGATGATGTGAATTTCACCCATTTTTGTTTTGTTAACAGCGTAATGGATGACATAACTTGAATGACTTAAAGGAATATGGATTAATTTTTTTAAAAGATTTATTTATTTATTTTAAAGTCAGAGTTACACAGAGAGAGAAGGAGAGGCAGAGAGAGAGAGAGAGAGAGAGAGAGAGGTCTTCCATCCATTGGTTCACTCTCCAATTGGCCACAACAGCCGGAGCTGTGCCAATCCGAAGCCAGGAACCAGGAGCTTCCTCCAGGTCTCCCACACGGGTGCAGGGGCCCAAGGACTTGGGCCATCTTCCACTGCTTTCCTAAGCCATAGCAGAGAGCTGGATCAGAAGTGGAGCAGGCCGGCGCCACGGCTCACTAGGCTAATCCTCCGCCTTGTGGCGCCGGCACACCGGGTTCTAGTCCTGGTCGGGGCGCCGGATTCTGTCCCGGTTGCCCCTCTTCCAGGCCAGCTCTCTGCTGTGGCCAGGGAGTGCAGTGGAGGATGGCCCAAGTGCTTGGGCCCTGCACCCCATGGGAGACCAGGATAAGTACCTGGCTCCTGCCATTGGATCAGCGTGGTGCGCCGGCCACAGCACACCGGCCGCGGTGGCCATTGGAGGGTGAACCAATGGCAAAGGAAGACCTTTCTCTCTGTCTCTCTCTCTCTCTCTCTCTCTCTCTCTCACTGTCCACTCTGCCTGTCAAAAATAAATAAATAAAAAGAAGTGGAGCAGCTGGGACACGAACCAGCGTCCATATGGGATGCCAGTACCGCAAGCGGCAGCTTTACCTGCTACGCCACAGCACCAGCCCCCGGATTGATTTTTCTCAGTAAGCAGACGTCACAGGGCAGGGGCTGCGGGCACTGATGGAGTCAGGGGCAGAACCGAGCCCTTGGTGACCATCGCTGCTTTCCTTCCTGCTGGGTGCTCGGTAACACAAGCATCTTGTCTACACTCAGGGCAGAAGCCGGCGGCTGGGGGGGACGCAAGAGCCACGATCCTGCCCTTTCTGCCGGCAAGTGGGACCTGTCCTGGAGGCCCCCCCCGGGCCATCTCTGGGTCTCAGGGTGCCCCTCAGCTTCACGGGGGGCCACGGGGAGCAGGGAGCAGTGTGCCCCAGCCTTGCACACACTTGGATCAGTGAGGCTGCCCCCGGTGTGCTGGCCTCTGCACCAGACACCGCTGCCGTCTGCCTGCCCAGCTCTGATACCCAGCAAATGCCTGCAGCTACTGCCCGAGGGCCCAAGTGCACTCCGGTCGAGAAACCCTGGCTGAGATGGCTCAGGACCGACCGGGCCTGGCTGACTGCAGCCCTGAGCGCAGGTGGGTTTCTGTTACCCACAAAGAAGCGGGTGGCCTCTCATCTGTCACAGGCACCCCTTCCTGGACGCGCCACGGCCTTGGGAGCCGGGGACGCCATCCCTGGCTCGGAGAGCTTTAGGGACTTGGCCTGGGGTCACTCACCTGCCACGCGGCCAGGCTGTGGTTCAGATGGAGCCTGGTGGCCGTGGCGTCCGTGTGCCTGACCCACCGCCAGGCAGCGCTCCTTATGCAGGCTGCGGGGGGTTACCTAATCCCGGGGGGGTGGGGCAGCCGGCTCGTGCTGGCCCTCAGAATAATATTTTGGTTTCTCCTGTGGTCGGTCACACGCTGTCCCTGGCAGGAGTCAAGCCTGGCTCGCACTCTGAAGCAGCAAGAGCCGGAAACCTCAGAGGTGAAGCAGGCAGCTCCCATGTGGGGACTGCAGGGGCTTCTGCACACACACACACAAACACACACACACGCACACCCCGCTGTGTGACATTGGGACGGCTGCTTCACCTCTCTGAGCCTCCTTCCCCTACTCTGAAAGCCAGGGTCATAACAGCACCTGGATGTCATTTTCTGGGCAGTTGGGGTCCCTGCCACCCCTCAAGAGCTCTGAAGGGGTCCCCAAGTAGTTCCAGGGCAGCACAGAGCCTGTCTTCAGTGTGGTGGGGCCGTTCTGTCCCGGACCTGCCCTCACTGTTGCCCAAGTACAAGCTGATGCCTGCCCCCTTCCCATCAGCCTGCCCCTGCCTCACTTGCATACGGGCAGCTCCAGAGCATCTGCAAGCAGGGGTCAGGGGGCCGCCCTCCGTGGACTCCCCCAGCCAGGCCGCAGCGCCTCTCCTGGGGTCAGGGGGGCCGCCCTCCATGGACTCCCCTAGTGGGGCCACTGAGCCTCACCTGAGGTCAGGGGGACCGCCCTCCACTCACTCCCTATCTCCCACCCCCGGCACAGTGATGCACTCAGTGTGTCCCAGCCTGACCCATAGGAGCCTCAACTTTGGGCTTCTCCCAGGACCATGAAGGAAGATGTCCCGCACCCCATCCCGGGGGTTGGGGGGTGCTGCTGGGCCAAGGGCACGGATCTGGAACTGCGGATGGAAAGCAGTGTCTGGAACGAGCAGCCCACGGAGAGAACTTGTTCAAGAGGGTCCTCAATGCAGAAACAGCAGGCCCGAGGGTGCTCTGCACGCAACCAGGCCTGAACTCCTGGGCTGCTGCGGCAGGAGCTCATCTTTCCTTTGCAGCTGACGCCGGCCTAAGGAGCTGATGGAGCCGTCCGCCCCATGGCATCAGACAGAATGCAGTATCGTGAAAGCCCTGGGCTCTTTTTTTTTTTTTTTAAAGACTTATTTATTTATCTGAAAGTCAGAGTTACACAGAGAGAAGGAGAGGCAGAAAGAGAGAGAGAGAGGTCTTCCCTCCGCTGGTTCACTCCCCAGTTGGCCGCAATGGCCAGAGCCGCATCGACCTGAAGCCAGGAGCCAGGAGCTTCTTCCAGGTCTCCCATGCGGGTACAGGGGTCCAAGGACTTGGGCACTGCTTTTGAGCCCTGAGCCCTTGTAAGGAACTGGTATTGGTACCAAGAACATAAGGCCAGGGTCGCAGCGTTGCCACTTACTAGAAAAGTGACTTCCCCTCTCTGAACTTTAATTTGCTTATCTGTAAAATGGGATGCTACCCTTTCTCAGTGGTTATGAGAAAGAAAGAAATAAGACTTGGTCTGGTGCCTGGCATGTGGCAAACACTTGATACAATGTAGCCATTGTTTAATAACAACAAATGGTAATAGTGTGGTGACAGCCATAGTCAGAGCAGTCAGCGTGGTAATCGTAAAAGGATGCAACTCCAGCCTGCACAGGAAACCTGGCTCTGAACTGGGAAACCCGGCTTCCTCCAGGCCCTCCCTACTTGCCCTGGACTCAGTGGCGGCACCACCGTGGGCACTCGATGGGAGGCCAGGTTTTTCACCTTGCAGACCAAGGAACCCAGGAGATTGGACCAGGAGGGCAGGGCCCCAGAGGCCACATTCTCAACCCAGAGCTCCTTTGTCTCTGGGAGCTGGTGGGGAGATCTGGCATCTGCCAGACCCCATTCTTGGATTAACAGCTTCCTGATCTCTTGGGGAGCAATTAGGGTCACTGTGTTTGGCAATGAAGAATTCACGACGGGTGGGTGTTTGGTGCAGCATTTGAGACACTGCGTGGGATGTCCACCTCCCATATTGGGGTTTACTACATGGCTATACTCCTGATTCCAGCTGACCCTGGGAGGGAGCAGGCAATGGCTCAAGTAATTGGGTTCCTGCTGCCCACCTGGGAGACCTGGATTGAGGGGTCAAGTTCTTGTTTCCTGGCTTCAGCCTCAGCCAGGGATCCTTGTGAGCATTTAGGGAGTGAACCAGCAGTTGGAAATTCTCTCTCTTGACTTAAACACAAATACACACACAAACTCATATAAATCTGAATTTCAGAAAAAACAAATGACTTCTTAGTATAGCATGTCCCAAGTATTGCATAGAAGTGCTTGTATTAAAGCATTTGTTATCTCTCTGAAATTCAGGAGCATGTGAGCAGCAGCCTGGCATCTGGCATCCCCAGGAGCCAGGCCACTGCCACCCGCAGGTGCGATTCTGCAGGGACCACAGCGGCTCAGGTCCAGGCAGCCAGATTCAAATCCAAGCAACCTGTTCAGCCAGCCACACTGATTGGTTCAGACAGGCATGTGACCCAGTTAGGGACTGATAGTGTTAGGGACCAGTTAGTGTCCCCCTGGGAGCTGGAGTATAAGGAGAAGCTCCCCAGGGGAGCAGGGAGGCAGAATCATTGGGCAATTGAGACCCCACCCCCACCTCTGTCCATGCAGTGCAGAGTAGGTTGGTGGCACCGGTAAAGTCACGAGGCCACTGCTTCAGGGACAACGCGAAAGGAACTTCAAGAACCAGGAGGAAGAGCGGCCACTTGACCGGCCTCAGAGACCCTTCCTCGGTCTGACCTTTGCTCCAGAGCCAGGGGGGATGCCCTTCCGCCCCCAGGTATGCAGAGGGGCAAAGGACAAGGGCTGACTCAGCTTCTTTTACTTTTATTTTCTAGAACAAAGTAGGTGTCACCCGGCAGGGGCCCACACCTGCTGCTCTCTCCTGGTGCCTGTCACGGCCGCCCTCACTGTTGGCAGGGGTCAGCCAAGGCCAGGAAGGAAAAGGGTGGCTGAGTACGGGAAGCAGACTGCAGGGCGTGCCCATGTGCTCATCTCTGAGGCAGAGGGCAACTGGCACGGGGAGTGAGGTGGCTGGCCACCAGGACAGGGCGTGCCGGGGGTCTGTGCATGGGCAGGAACCAGGGGAGAACACAGTGGCTCCATACTATGCCAGCCTGGTAACTCCAGGAAGAAGCCCTCTGCCTGGGATTGGCCAGTTGCCGCTGGCTTCCCTGTAGAGAGAAAGGGGCTCTGAGTTTAGACACCTCCAGTCCTGGCCCAGGGAGAAGGCATCACAAAATGAGACTAAGGATGACTACTGGCCTTGGCTTCTTAGCTTCGAGTTCTCAGGGTGCACAGGTAGGCGGGGGCAGGGTCTAGACGGCATCACCCTCGCTGTCAGACTCAACCACGTCCAGCGGTTGCAGGCGCAGGGAGTCGTAGTTGGGGGGCGGGGTGCCCGGGATAGGCAGGGCCTGCTCGTCGGGGTAGGCCTCGGCGTCGGGGCTGCGGTGGCCCACATCTGGCTGGAAGCCGAAGTTGGTGTGCGCCTCCACCAGCTCGGCCACGGTGGGCGGGGGGCCCGCGTAGCGAGCCTGGGCTTGCCTCTGCCGCAGGCCCTTGGCCAGGGCCACCAGCTTGATGATGGTGATCCACACGAAGTCAATGATGATCTCGGCAAACTCGATGAGACACAGCACGGAGCCCCCCATCCAGAAGCCAAACTGACCGCCCAGATTGGAGAGCAGCCAGACGATCTGTGGGGGACAGAGGGGAGGGGATAAGGGCCCGTGTGGAGGTGAAGCACTCCCCTGCCTCCCAGCCCGGTCTCAGGGGACCAGCGCCAGGGCTCCCTGGGTGGGTGGGCGAATGGGGGACCATCTCAGCCCCGGGAAGTCACTCGGGACTGCTGTGGGGACCCTCCCCATCCCCACACAGGGGCTCAAGACACTCCCACTCTCAGGGTGCAGGGTTAACAGCCACGGCTGCGGGGTCCAGAGCCACCCAGACTCACGTTGTTGGCGGCCGATTCCTCGATGGTGCGGTAGTTGAATTCTTGGAAGTAGATGTTGAGTTTGACAACACCCTTCCTGCAGGGGGCAGCAAGAAGGGCTGGGGCTGCGCCCCACTATCTCCCCCTCCCCTCCCCGCCCTGGCCACAGCCAGGGGCCTCCCCCAGCCCTCTCATGCCCACCTTGGGGAGGGCTGACGTCCACACAAGAACTGCACAGGCTATCCTTTGCAGCCAATGTACCCCACACTCATCCTGTTTCCTCTGCCCAGCCCACGTGCAGTGACCCCGAAGCCTTGCACCAGCACCAGGGAACCTCCTGGCCAAGCACCCCCACCCCCACCCCTCTGCCTTGCACCTGTGGTCTGCAGAAAGACCGTGCTGTCTCATACCTCAGGCTGCTGCCCAAGCCACATCCTCTGCCTGGACACTTTGGCCCTAATGGCACTGAGCGGTTTGTCCCCCTCCTCTTCCTCCTCTCCCCCATTAACTCACACGTCATCTCCCTCCTTTTCCCTCAAGCAGAGTGAGGCTCCTCCCCCACCATGCTCCTGGGGCGGGGCTTGGACAAACAGCACCATGAGCTCTGGCTGTGGCTAGGGCTTCTCCAGACTGAATGTATGGACCTCGTGTCTTAGCCACCAAGCCTGAGTTTGTGTGGGACAGAGGGGTGGGTGGATGGACGATGCGGAGTGGGGGATGAGTGGACAGGTGGGTGTGTGGATGGGAGAACAGGGACCTCCTTGAGGGGGTGCTGGACTGACCCCTGGGCTGTCCTTTCTGGCTGTCACGCCCCAGGCTGCCTCCTCCAGGCCTGCCTGGCTCTATCCAGTGTGGGATACTGGCTGGGTTAGCTGGCCTCTGTCCGATATCTAGCTCCTCCCCTTTTCTGCCTGCCCTAGCCCCGCCCAGGCTCACCTGCTCAAGGTGACGTTGGTGCTCTGGTCCCGCTCCTGAGACAACACGTGGAAGATCCAGTCCTGGAACCCAATCCAGAAGGCAGCTGAAACACGCAGCGCCTGCACCCGCCTCCCAGTCACGGCCCCTGGCACCCACGAGGGGGCTGGATCGCTGCCCTGTATTTCCCTGAAGCCCCTGGCGGGGGGGCACAGGCTAGGACAGGGAGCAGGCGGGAGGGCACAATGGAAGCGTGGCTGCTGTGAGAGGGGAGAGGGGACTCGGGTGCCCAGCCTCTTCCCCTAGACCCAGCCATCTTGTCCCTACCTTGGGCCCTGCACCTGCTGTTCCCCAGGCCGGAAGCCCTCTCAGCTCTGCCCCGTCTGGCTCAGCCTCAGCCTCCAGGTTTGGGCTCAGAGGCCACCTGTCTTGGGGAGGCCGGCCTTCCCTAACCACTCCGTCTAACGTTTCCCCTTCCTCTCTGCTGTCACCATCACCGTCTCCCTCAGGATCGCAGCCTCTGCACTCTGCGCTCCCAGCCAGCACCCCACAGACCCAGGGAACCCACGCAGACCGGGGCTCACACGCCCAGCCCTGCGTGGGCACTCACGCAGCAGTGGCCACACCTTGAAATGACCTAGTTTCTGTGTATGAACAAGGGGTCTTCAAAAGGCTCACGGAGGGGCCAGCACTGTGGCATAGCAGATAAAGTCACTATCTGCGGTGCTGGCATCCCATGTGTGCACAGGTTCAAGTCCCTGCTGCTCCACTTCCAATCCAGCTCCCTGCTGATGGCCTGGGAAGCAGTGGAGGATGGCCCAAGTGCTTGAGCCCCTGCACCCACACGGGAATCCCAGAAGAAGCTCCTGGCTCCTGGCTTCGGATCTCCTCAGCTCTGGCCATTGCAGCCATTTGGGGAGTGAACCAGTGGATGGAAAACCTCTCTGTCTCTCCCTCTCTCTCTGTAAATCTAACTTTCAAATAAATAAATTTCTTTTTTTTTTTTTTTTTGAAAAAAAAAAAAGGGTCTTGTGAAATATATGTTGTGGAAAAAAAACGATGCAAGGATTTCAAAAAACTTCTCACCAAAAATAAACTTATCTTTGAATACTGGTTTTCCCATGCACATTCTGAAGTCCCCCTCTATATCATCTCTCTGACTACCGTGTGGGCTCTGTAAGGCAAGGACTGTGTCTGTCTCACTACTGTCGTCCGGAGCACGTGTCTGGGGGGGTGTTGGTGGAGAAAGGGAGGGGAGAGGGAGGGAGGGAGGGAGGGAGAAACCCCCTCCACCCCCAAGGTCCTAAGCAGCCTACAGTTCTGGCCCAGCCACGTCCCCAGTGCAAAGGTGGGGGCCAGGAGCTTGGCCGCTCCTCCGTCTCACCTCAGAGGCCTCGGAAGGCCAGTCGGCCATGGAGATGGTCATCTTGTACTGGGTGTCACTAGAAGAGAGAAGCCCCGTTGCTGGGCCGCCGGCCCCGCCCCCGTGCCCGCAGGCCCCGCCCCCACACTCACTTGCAGGACTCCTTGCACATGCGGATGCACGTCTCTCTCTCGGCCTCGCTCATCCGCAGAGCCAAGTAGCAAGGGGCTGAGGGAGACAGGGAGGGCTCAAGACCTTGAAGGTGGTGTTTAGGGGCCCTCCTCCCGGCTCCCTCTGGGCCCCCTTAGGCCTGTGGTTAAGATCGGGGGCGTCTCCAAGATTTCTCGCCATGGAGAATCAGCGCCCCCCTCTACAGCTTGGCCTGGGGATCTCATCCCAAACAGCCGAGACCCAGCTCGGTGAGGTCCGAGGGTTATGGCGTGTGCGAAGGAACAAGAGCCGGAAGGAAGACAGGCGCCCCCTCTCCCTGTGACTCCACCAGGAACATCCGCTGGCCGCGCCCCGGCTCCAGCCCCCGCCCCCCAGCGGGGCTCCTCCTCCTGTGACTCCAACCTCAAGCCCTGGCAGATCCCCGCGGTGATGGTGACAGCAGCTTTCTCACTCTCTCCTGCAGTCCACCGCAGAGACCCTGGGAGCCCACACACACATGGACACTCATGCCAAGGATGGACACACTGCCCTGTGCACGCGCGCGCACACACACACACACACGCTCATGCACTAGGGTGCACAGACACCAGCAGCCACTTCCACGAAGACCCACGGAGCGTCTGTGCATTTAGACACACACACACACAGGCACGCTGGAAGACAGGGACACACACACACGTCTGCGTGCATGATGGCAGCCATGTGCCAAACTCATACATACATACACACACACACACACACACATACACCGCTGGTCCATTGCACACAGACGTGTACCCACAGGGACAGTCACTCCCACGCCTGCACGTGCCAAGCACGCACCGCGGAGAGCTCAGGAGAGAGAAGACCGGGTTCCTGCAGGCAGAGGTCTGGGGGAGGGCGTGGCCAGATGGCGGACCGCTTAGCGGACGCCCCCCACCCTGCACCTGCTCAGAGCCCACACTCACCCCAGTCCGGGAAGTCCCGACTGTTGCAGTATTCCTGCCCGCGGGGCAGCGGGTACAGATAATGGCCGCATTGGCAGCTGGCGATCATCTGGGTTTGGAAGCAGGAGTGAAGACAGGCCTGAGGTGGGCGAGAGAGAGCACAGCTATGGTCAGGGACGACCTCGCCCCCTGTGCCTAGGGGAGGGGGTCCAGAGACGATCAGGTCCAGGCCAAGGGAGCTGGGGAAGGGGGCGGGGCAGGAGAGGCGCCTCGGTGGACAAGAGGCCCAGGGAAAATGGATTCCAGTCTTTCCCTCTTGCGCTGTGTAGCAGGTGTTGGGATTCTGCAGGGGTCCCCCGGCCAGGACCCTGGCAGCCCAGATCTCCCCAGGCAGAGGTGGGACCCCCAGGTGGCACAGGGAGGGGCTCTTTTCTTAAGGCACCAGAATGTCGCCTGGCGGGGGAGGGGGAAGAGGGGACACCGGCACCCCCCCCCCCAGCCCTGGGGATGGGCTGTGATGAGTGTCCCCTCCCTAAGCCCCAGCCTCCCAGGTTTCCAGGTGGTTCTGCCCAGCTATGTGTCCTAGGGGCCAGTTCTTAGCCCTGAGCCTCAGATGACTCCTGCAAAGCAGGCAGAGTGGCAAGCACACCTGCCTGCCCCGGGGGCCAGGAGGATTCAGCCCGAAGCCCCTGAACAGAAGCAGCTGTCACTCACAGTTCTCTGCCCGCCCAGTTTCCCAAGCGCTGACGATGGTGGCCACCTTGCGACAACCCTGGCTGGCCGCCCTCCATCTCTGACCCTGCCCCACCCGTGGCTTCGTCCCAAGCTGACACATCCTGCTCCTCTCCCTGGTCTGGTGGGCTCCCCGAGGCCAGGAAACCGGGGCCACTGTCAGATGCAACAGCCTGGCCAGGAGGGCCCGGAGCTGGGGCAGGCAGGGGACAGGCCCTGGACTGACACGGAGGCCGGCCCAGGCCTGCTCCTGGCCAGGAGTGGACGTACGAGTGGGGACGGCTCCTGAGCCTGACCTCGGTCTTTGATGAGGCTTCTGGCCTCAGGGCTGTTGCACCGCTGGGAACAAGAACTGAGTTTTCCTGGGCTGGGGCCTCCTTCTCCATGGTCCCCATCTCCAGGTGCTGCCCCGGCTGTCTGTCTGTCTATCCCTGTCCATCCCTGGGGGGTCTCAGAAAGCTCCGTGGCAGCCAGAGAGCAGGGTAGGGCAGCTGCACGGGGCGGACATGCGGCTGGGACGGAAAACCACACCAGGCTCAGGGTTCCCGGCTGCTGTCCCCTCATTATGCCTCAGTGTCCTTATCTACCAAGGCACATCAGGCTGGCGGAGCCATGGCAGTGAGCGGCCATCTGTGCCCGGAGTCAGCTCATGCCCTGTCCCTGTCCGGAGAGGTCAGGTCTGAGCCAGGGCTGGGCTCACCGTGGGGGCTCAGGACAAGAGCATAGCTGGCAGCTCCAACGAAAGGGATTGAGGGCAGATCTCAGGGGGACTGGCGAGGGATTCACACTGGGGTCTGGTTCCTGAGCTGGGCATGATAAGGGCTCTACACTTACGGGTTGCTAGGGTGATTAAATGACCTAAGAGGTGCAAAGTGCTTGCATAATCTACTCTCATTAGCAGGCCCATAAATGCCACCATTTATTAGCATACTGCAGCTTCATGGGGGGTAGTTGAAGGGATAAAGTGAAGGTCACATGTTAGATGTTTGTCTTCTTCTGGGAGACCCCAGAGTGAGATCCCTATAATCCTGGGTGTCCCCAGGGGCATACCTGTCGCAGTGGGGATGAGAAGTGACTAGCCCCAGGCCTGCTGAGAGCAAGGACAGTACTGGGCCCACAGCCCCCAGAGCGGCCCGAAGCCACCTACAGGAGCCCAGCAGAGCCAGCCTCCCAGACACCCGAGGCCCTGTGGCTCAGGTTGAGGACAGGGACCCTGGGGGCCACGGGGCCTGCAGCAAACCCACCTGGATGGAGTAGGTGGTGTTGTAACTGCCGTAGAGGTTCTGCACCGGGACGTCAGAGCCGTTCACCGTGCACGGGCTGTAGGGCTCGCCCTTACGCTGCAGCTTGTCCTGTGTCCCGAAGGGTTGCTCGTGGGTGACCTGGGGCGCCCCCTCCCTCCCTGGCCTCCCAGCAAATATCGGCACAGAGGACGTGAGAAGGGACGGAGAGCTGCAGGCCCCACGCGCGCCAGAGGGGGCGCCAGAGAGCTCGCCCGCCCGCCTCCCGCCGGCGCCGGCCCTTACCACCAGCACCCCGATGGACGTCTCCGTCCCCGACATAGCGTCGACGCCCTCCTCGCGGATGAAGGGGTAGGAGCGCTGCTCGTGCAGCATGAGCCGGACGCCGGCCGTGGACGCCAGGAAGGGGACGTAGTCTTCCTGGCCGATGTCCAGGATCAGCTTCAGGCCTGTGGGGGAAAGGAGAGTCACGGATTCGCTCCCCCAGGCTGCGGGGGAGACCCCCACCCACATGCCTACTCCCTCCAGCCAAAGGGAGGGCCTGCCAAAAAGGCTGGCACCACCTGGGGAGAACCCAGGCCTGGGCCCGCGCCTCCCTGGTGTCCTGTCGCCCCACCATGGTCTCTGTGCTGTCCAGCACGTAGAGCTGAGAGGCACAGCCCTGCCCTGCCCACCTCTGCCCTCAGTAACCGCAGGGCCGTCTGGTTCCTTCCTGCCGCGGGGCCTCCGCCAGTGCCGTTCCTCCACCTGGAATGCTGTTCCCTTCACCTGGAATCTCCCGCGCTTTCTGCATACCCCAGCCCAGGGCCCTCACTGAACCCCCGCCTAGTCCCGGGCGCTTCCTCCCGACCTCCTGCGATGCTCCTCCCACGGACTGGTCTGCAGGGCTACTTTCCCGGGGTCCCGAGCTGCACCCCGTGGCCAGGCCGATGCGGGCTGATGGCTGCTGAGCGCATGTCGTGTGCGGGCTATGGCGCAGAGCGCCTTTGTCTGGGTGATCTCCGCGGGGGCTCATGAGAGCCGCAGGAGGTCGGGGCGGTTGCTACCCTCCTTGGACAGCTGAGGACACTGAGGCACAGGGCGGGACTTTGTCCGACGCCGCTCGGCAGGGAAGCGGAGTGCCGGGGTTGAACTATGAGGGCCTTCCCGAAATTAAACCCAGCGTGTGACTCCTCTGCTGGGCTCTGGTACTGGCATCTGCCTCAGGGAAGAGGGCGGGGCTAGCACCTGGGGACAGGGCTCGGGGGAGCCAAGGCTGGGGGGAAGGGCAGTGGCCTGATGGCCACTGAACCTGCCCCTTGGTGGGCGGGGGAGGTCAGGAGCTGACCAGGGAGGGCTTCCTGGCCCGTGCCCAGCGCCCAGCCCCACCAGCCAGAGCCGCGACCCCTTCTGCAGGAGACACCAGCCTGGAGCGAGGGGGGGCTGTCACCCCCCCTCCCCCCCCTCCCCGTTCTACTTCTCTGTGACGCTCTCTCTTTAAGAACTGTGCAGCAGGGGCTGGCGTCGCGGTGCAGTGAGTTAAGCAGACACCTGGGACCCCAGAGCCCGTGTGAGCACCCATTGCAGTCCTGGCTACTTCACTTCCAATCCAGCTCCCTGCTAATGGGACTGGGAGGGCCAGGTGCTTGGGAGACTTGGATGGAGCTCCGGGCTCCTGGCTTTGGCTTGGTTCAGCTCTGGCCATTGCAGGCATTTGGGGAGTGAGCCAGCAAATGGCAGATATTTTTCTCTCTCTCTCCCTCTAGCTGTCAGTCTGCCTTTCAAATAAATAAAACATTTTTTTAAGAACTGTGCAGCAGAGGGGCTAAGGGAAGAGTGAAAGCCAGTGCCACTTCAGTACTGGGGGACCTTGGGCACAGTACTCCATCTTTAGCAGTATTTCTCAGAATATTCCAGGCAGATACTATGTGCTGTGTTGTGTGTGTGTGCGCGCTGTGTGTGTGTGCACTGTGATGTGAGACTGTATACGCCTCTGCAGGGGGTTGATTTCAGGAGTCCTGTCAGTATCAGAGTCGGTGACGCTCAAGTCCCTTATGTAAAACAGTGTAGTGTTTGCACAGAACTTACCCAACGCTCCCAGATACTTTGAATCATCTCCTGGCTACTCAGCATACCTAATACAGTGTACACGGCAGGTGCACAGTTGTTATATGCACTGTTTAGGGAGTAACAGTAAGAAAAGGGTCGGTCCCGGGGCGCACTTTTTCTTTCTGAATGTCTTCTATCTGCAGCAGGTTGGGTCTAGCAGGTGTGGAATCCCTGGGTAAAAAGGCTGGGTGTGCTACTCCCCGTGTGGGGGATCTGACTTTGAGAGAGGAAATCCCAAGCTCAGAATGACCTAGTGCGTCCGTGGTGGGGGCTGGGATGTGGCCTGGGCATAGCAGCTGGAGCTCTTGGCCATGACACTGAGTCCTCACTGCATTGGTCAGCAAATCAGGAACCCCAGGGCCTGCCCAGGGATATGAGGAAGGGAAAGGCGGAGCCAGTGCCTGGCCCCGCCCCTCACCGCGCAGCCTCCGTAGTGGCCACGCCTCTCCGGGCTCCTCTCGGCCCCGCCCCCACAGATGCTCCAGCCCCAGACTCACCAAATTCGGTTCCCGGGTTGGCCGAGGGCAGCGCCTTCTCCGTCATGCCCCAGTTGAAGACGTAACAGTTGCCGTAATCCGGGTAGAAGATGGACGTGAAGTTCCTGAAAGAAACACCGTGGGCCGTGGGCAGACAGGGTGGTCACAGACCGGAGCAGTTGGCCGCCACCTGCCCTCCGTGACTGCTCCCAGGTTCAGGAAGGGGGAGGTGGCAGCAGCCAGAGAGACCAGAAGGGGGTCTTTTTGGAGTTACGGTTCTGCTCTCTGAATAAGCTGTTGTTTTAAAATTACATATTTTATTTATTTATTTCAAAGGCAGAATTCGAGAGAGACAGAGACCTTTAGCTGCTGGTTCACTCGCCAAATGACTGCAGTGGCTGGGACTCTGCCAGGCTGAAGCCAGGAGCCGGGATCTCCACCCTGGTCTCCCACATGGGTGGCAGGGACCCAAGCACTCGGGCCATCTTCTGCAGCTTTCCCAGGTGCTGTAGCAGGGAGCTGGATTGGAAGCAGAGCAGCCGGAACTGAGGGCGGCGCTCAGCTGGGAGGCTGGCATCCCAGGCAGTGGTTTAATCCGCTGTGCCCCAGCGCCAGCCCCAGCTGTGAGAACTGTGATCTGCCGCATGTTCCCCAGCTCCCAACGATGTCCCTGTCCTTGTCAGAACCCCCAAACCCACTGTATGTGGCCTTCTCTAAAACAAAGGTGTTTGCAGATCTAACTGGGAATCTCGAAATGCGATCATCTTGGATTACCCAGGGGGCCCCTAAATCCAAGGCAGGTGTCGGTGTAGGAGCAGAAGGGGAAAAGACAGAGATGCTGAGAAGCCCACGTGCAGACGAGAGCTGAGGTGCACAGGTGCGAGCGGGGAGGCCACCACGGGCTGGACGAGGCAAAGGACAGTGCCCTGGTGCCCTCCGAGGGAGCCCCGCCCCGCTCCATGTCTTTCTGCTGCACCCTGATCCCTGCGGGACCTTAGGTGTCTACTCCTGGTGTTCGTGAGCTGTGGCCGCCACAGGAAGCTCATGCAGGCCCTAAGAGCAAAAAGGGCAGCGCCAGTGTTTGCTCAGGGAGCTGCTGGGGTACAGAGAGGTGGGGACGCGGGCACGGAGGGGCATGGGCCGGGGCGGAGGCGGCCAAGGCCAGTAAGAGGCTGAAGAACTCCACCCAACTCCCAGCTTACGTCCTGGAACTGTTCCTAAGAAGTTTGTTTAACACCATCACCACCAAGTGCTCCGTAAAGCTGTCCACTGGGGCAGGCGTTGGGCCTTGTGTGTGTGTTTTAATTTATTTTCAAAACATTTTACTTATATGAAAGGCAGAGTCACAGAGAGGGAGGGAGAGACAGAGATCTTTTCCATCTGCTGGTTCACTCCCCAAATGGCCACAACAGCTGGAGCTGGGCCAGGCAGAAGCCAGAAACCAGGAGCCAGGAGCTTCTTCTGGATCTGCCATGTTGGGGCGGGGGCCCAGACGCGTAGGCCATCTTCTGCTGCTTTCCCAGGTGCATTGGCAGGGATCTGGGTCAGAAGTGGAGCAGCCGGAATCGAATCAGCACCCATGTGGGATGCCAGTGTCGCAGGTGGTGGCGTTACCCACTTTGTCACAACACTGGCCCCAGGCCTAGTGGTTTTGACCCTGCCTGGGACACATGCATCTCCTTATCAGAGTGCCTGGGTTCAAGCCCTGGCTGTGCCTCAACTCCTGCTTCCTGCACCCTGAGAGGCAGCAGGTGATGGCTCAAGTGCTTGGGCCCCTGTCACCCACGTGGGAGACCTGGATTGGGTGCTGGACTCCTGCTTCACCCTGGCCTAGTCTTGGTTGTTGCCAGTATTTGGGGAGTGAACCAGCAGATGGGAGATCTTTCTCTCCCTTTCAACTAATAAAATCTATTAAAAATATGTTTTAATGCTCTTTAGCTTTCGCAGGTACAACCTGAGCTATTTATAGATGGAGACACTGGTGTCTGGGACGTGCAGCAGAATAGGGAAACGGGTCCCAGTTGCTGGGGTTGGTGGTGGACCCAGGTGGATGCACGCAACTCCGGTCTATGCGTGTGTTCTCAAGTCTCCATGATAAAATAGCTTTGAAAAAAACAGCCTTTGGTGGTTTTTGTTTATTTTTTTTTATTTACTCAAAGCAGAAAGCAATGGGAACAAGAACATCAAATGGTGCAAAAAAGTCAACCACACACAGGCTCATCTTTTCCAGGGGCGGGGAAGGGCCAGCCCTGGGAGATCACTTGGTCTGGCACTTGAAATTCTATAGCAGGTTCCTTTTAAGCTGGCCATTTTATGTGGCCTGCAAATGATGCTATAAATCTCCATTTAGTCCCTGGCAGAAAAAAAAAAGGGTTCCCCACCCCTATTAGGCCTTATATTCTACAACAAGAGTTCACTGAGCCATTTGATGGGCCAGCCTGGGCTGAATATTCTGGACTGGACTACCTTAAACCCCCTCATGCCTCAAAATCTCCCCAGGAATGAGGTGTGAGTTTCCCATAAGGAAACAAATTCCTGTGTCACCCCCAGGGCCCAGCACCCAGCACAGGCTGCGACGGCCGATCGGGGAGCTGACCCCAGCTCTGCCGCGGGCTGGTGGGTCTGAGCCGCTGACTCAAGCTCAGAGCTTGGGTTTCCTCCAAGGCGAAAGAGGAATCAGGAAGAAAAAACGCATTTCTTCACCCAACAAACACCTGCTGAGGCGGGCAGCCGGCCGGGCACTGGAGGACAAGACAGGGCTGCCCTTCTGGCCCGCTCTGTGCGGGACACAGAGCCCCAGCAAATGCCTCCTTTCAGCGTGGGGCTCCAGCCTGACCCCTCGCTCCATCCCCGAGACTCTCACCTTGTCCCGAGCCACCAGGGCCTCACACCCCGATTCCTGCAGGAGCCTCTGCCTCCCCATCTGCTTCCCCGTGGCCAGTGGCCAGGGCGACGGCCACATTCGGGAGCCACACGGTGCTCGCCCCCGCTCTGAGCCCCCCACCAAGGGCTCCTCTGGCTCACAGAGCACTGGCAGCCTCCTTACCTTGGCTTTCGTCTGCTCATTCAACATGTTTCCAGCCTCAAGGCCTTTGCACCTGCTGCCCTTGTGTCTGGAATATTCTCTCATCGGCCTCACCCTTTGGGTGTCGTCTGCTCTGCGGCGGCCTGTGAGTGCCCATCCCCCCATGTGAAGTGCTAGACTTTCTGCTGGTTCCCGGTACTCGGTTCCTACTGGTAAGGTTGTGGTGTGCATATGGTTTGAAGGTGGCCCTTGAAGGGTCTCGAGCTGGAAGGCTGGCCCCCAGGGTGGTGACTTGGAAGGTGGTGGCATTTTTTTTTTTTTTTTTGACAAGCAGAGTTAGACAGTGACAGAGAAAGAAACAGAGAGAAAAGTCTTCCTTTTCCATTGGTTCACTCCCCAAATGGCTGCTACGGCTGGCGCACTGCACCGATCCGAAGCCAGGAGCCAGGTGCTTCTCCTGGTCTCCCATGGGGTGCAGGGCCCAAACACTTGGGCCATCCTCCACTGCACTCCCGGGCCACAGCAGAGAGCTGGCCTGGAAGATAAGCAACCAAGACAGAATCCGGCACCCCAACCGGGACTAGAACCTGGGGTGCCAGCGCTGCAGGCGGAGGATTAGCCTAGTGAGCCGCGGCGCCGGCCAAGGTGGTGGCATCTTTAAGAGGTGAGGTCACTGCCCTCAGAGGGAACCGATGAGGCCTTTAGGGAACACCAGTTGGCAAGCGCGGCCCGTGCCTGCTCTCTGACGTCCCGTCCTGCCTTAGGATCCCTCCCTCTCCCACAGAGACACCAACCGCCCCGCTGGCACCGTGTTGTCTGGACTTCCAGCTGCCAACTCAGTGAGCTAAAAATAACCTCCTTTTCCTTATGAAGCAGCTGGCCTCAGGTGTTCGGTTATAGCAAAGGAGAATGACAAGGGAAAGGGAACAGGCTCCCTCCCGAACCCCTGCATGGCCACTTGCTCATTCCCTTGATTGCCTACAAAGCGCTTTGACTGTTCCTAATGGTAGAGAAGTGTGTGTGTGTGTGTGTATCTCACTGTTCCTACCCGTTGCAGTGTAATGGCATCCTCCTGATGAACGTCAGGTGTGTCAGCTGCCTCCCCCTGTCGAGCGAAAGCTCACGGAGGGCATGTGACCTCGTCCCCCGGAGGAGAAGGGCTCAGAGGTCATGAGCACAGCTCCAGGAGCCTGTTGGAAGCTGAATTCCAGCTCGGCTGCTTGCTCATCGCCGCTCTGCGCTCACTGTCTCCGTGTGCTAATGACAGCGCCCAGCACCGAGACGAGGCCTTCACGCCTAGCACCCCCCCACTCCCCAGAACTCCCAGCCGCTGCTGTCTGTTCACCCCTCTGCGGCATTCTTCCCATCAACCCTGAAGGCCAGGTGAGAGTACTTTCTGTGAAACACCTGGGTGTGCTCCTCCACTGTCAAGGTCACGCACACAGAAGTCTCAGAAATTGCCAGAGACTAAGGAGGCACAAAAGCCAACGCAGGGGCTGGCGCTGTGGCGTACGGCACCAGCATCCCCTGTGGGCACCAGTTCCAGTCCTGGCTGCTCCTCTTCCGATCCAGCTCCCTGCTAATGCACCTGGGAAAGCAGTGGGAGATGGCCCAAGTGCTTGGGCCCCTGCACCCACGTGGGAGACCCAGAAGAAGCTGCTGGTTCCTGGTTTTGAATCTGCCCAGCTCTGGCTGTTGTGGCCGCTTGGGGAGCAAACCAGCGGATGGAAGACCTCTCTCTGTCTCTCCTTCTCTCTGTAACTCCACCTTTCAAATAATAGTTTTTTTTTTTTTTTTTTTTTAAGGCTAATTGCCGTGTGGTCTCCAGGCTGGGGTGCAGGGACAGGAAATTCTCACTGGGAAGAACTGAGGAAATCCGGGTAAAGTGCTGAGTCCAGTTCACAGGGAGGGGGGCCAGTGCTGGACAAGTTACCATGGCGACAGCAGGTGTTAGCAACAGAGAAAGCGGGGTGGGGGTCTTAGGGGACTTTGCCTTTGCAACGTTCCTATGAATCTACAGGTACCCCCACGATAAGCAGAATCTTTGTTCAGAAGCTCCTACAGAGAGGTGGGCATTGGCTTAGCAGGTAAGCCGGCGATTAGGACGCCCGCATTGCATGTCTGAGCGCCTGGACTCCTGATGCCAGCTTTTTGCTCACGCCCCACCCGGGAGGCAGAGGTGACGGCTCAAGTAGTCGGGTCCCTGCCGCTCATGTAGGAGACCCCTGGTGAGTTCTGGGCTGGCTTCAGCCTGGCCTCTAGGCATTTGGGAGGTGCACCAGCAACTGGAAACTCTCTTTTTCCTCTCTCTCTCTGCCTTGCAAAACTAATGAATGAACTTGAATCTCATACAATGTTTACTGTGCCCCAGACAATGCTCTAAGCACTGGACGTACGTTAACTCATTTAACCACCATACCAGCGCTGTCCCCGTTTTTCAGATGAGAAAACTGAGGTGTAGGGAGGCTAAGCAGGGTGGCCAACATCACAGAGAGCTGGCATTCAAACCCAGGCAGTCGGGGCCGGGATCCAAACACGGTTCCCCTTTCCCCAGTGCTGCAGCTGCCGCCTCTTGGGCATGTCGGAGAGGGAGAGGAGGGGGCCAGCACACAGCACAGCCCCCCGAGCTCCCAGGCACACGCTGGGGTGCTGCCTCCATGCAAGCTGACGCACGGAGGTGACCTGACGCACGGAGGTGACCTGACGCACAGCTGCCCCGGGGCAGGCCGGGCGGGCCTGGGGCGGAGGGCGCTCACCGGTAGCTACAGGGCTCGGCCCCGAACAGGCAGGCCAGGATGAGCCGTTCCGCGGAGTAGCCCAGCTCCACCAGCTCCCGCTGCGGCACTTGCGAGAAGATGTTGGTGGCCTGCAGCGCGTACCACTCGGTCACCGCCTGGGTGGCGCTGCTGAAGTTCCGGAATGTGCACGAGGTCCCATTGAGGCTGCACTGCAGGGGTCAATGGGGGCTCCCGTGGGTGCGGGGGCTGCTGGCAGGGCCCCAGCATCCGCCTGCCCCTCCTCCCCCAGGTACCCAGCAGGGCAAAGAGGAGTGCTCTGGGCTGCACACCTGGGCCGCGGGAAACTGGTCAGCCACACTCCCGCTCACTAAGGGGCCTTACCCGATGCTGACGCTCACAATCACAAGGGAGCCTGCCGACAACGCAGATCCCTAGGCCCAGGCCCAGAACTGCACACTCAGACCCCCCTGGAGTGAGGCCTCGGGGGTCCTGAGACAGAGTCATCCCTTGACAAGGGTCGGTGGCACACAGCTATGGCCGCTCATCCACCCAGCAATTTGTGCCTCTGCCTTGTGACACACAAACCTGGGTCCTCCTTCCACCTTTCCCCTTGTCTCAGCCCCTGACCCCGCCCCAAGCTCCAGAGCACGTGACCCAGGGCTGGCCAATCGTGGGAGCCTGTCTGCCCTCCAGTCCACAGTGATTGGTTGGGAGGTGAGCACGTGACCCGATGGGTCCGTGCCGAGGACTGTTGCTGTAGCTATGGACACAGAGGAGGTTTGTTTTCTGGAGAGACTGCTGAGCTGCTGGGATGCGGGCCTGGCACTGACAGGGGCCGTCCGTGTGGACAGAGCCTGCCAGAGGCTGAAATTGATGGAGAGCTGGAGTAAAATGGGCAGAGATGCCATCCTGATGGCAGCGTTGGAACACCTGGATCCAGCCACACCTGAACCCAACAGACCCCTGGACTTCTCAGTTACGTGACCCAATGAACTCCCTGTCTCGCTTAAGCTAGATGAGCTGGGTCATCACCTGCATCCACACTAACCGTGTCTATTTTTGGAAAAGCTTTGCAAATGCGCAAAAGAGGCACTGGCTTCCTCCAGCAAGACTTGCATCGTTAAAGCAAAGAAACTCCCTCGCTGGATGGAGCCCATTGCTGGAAGTGCGCCGGGGACCACTTACTAATCTCATGGCCACTTTACACCCCTGGGCATTGCAGGCCCCTCGTGGCCCCGGGCTGCTGCTTGCCGAGCCGGTGGGGTCGTTGGCAAAGAGGTCGAGGACCACCGGGTGGTGGGGGTCGCGCTCATCGATGAGGACCAGGGGTGTGTAGTTCCACGTGGAGAGGTTCATGGCCGCGGTGGCGTTGGCCTGGCTTGACTCGGGAGCCAGGATCCTCGCCAGGACTGCCTCCATCAGCTCATCCAAGTCCTTGAGCAAATGTCTGACCTTGGAATACCTGGAGGGGGAGAGGCTCATCAGGAAAAGCCACAGGAAAGTGGGAGCCCTTTCACTCCGCTACACCTAGGAATGTCCTACATGGCGTCCAGCCAGCCACCCGTGCATCCCTCTGGCTTTTCATCACACAATCACTCATTCAGCACCCAGTGTTCGATGAGCACCTGCTGTGCGCCAGGCACAGGCAACTCAGGAGCAAACAAGACAGGCCAGGTCTCTTGTGACTTTCTCCTCGTGGAGAGTGTTCGCTGCTGCATTTTCAGAGCCTCGAACCGTGCCTGGCACACACAGCAGGTGCTCCGTGAGCGGGGACTCCAGAGAGGTGTTTGAGGTTCTCTTTAAGCCTAGGAAGCTTATGAATTTGGGATCCTGTTGCAAAGGGGTGAAAGCAAAGAAGGAAGAAAAAAAGAAGAGGAGAGAGACAGAGAGGTGAGGTGGAAACAGGAAAGAAGGAGAAAGGAGAGACAGTGAAAAGCTAGCCCCGAGGCCAGCTGTGCACTCCCAGGACCACCTACCGGAAGGGGCTGGCATTGCAGATGGTGACGGCAGGGAAGTCCATGGCCTTGAAGCCCATGGAGAGGGAGACGCTGACCTCCCAGCTCAGGTAGGTCTTGATGAAGACGCCCCACTGCCAGCAGACGAGCGAGGCGAAGAGCAGCGTGATCAGGAACCACATGGCCTTCTTCTTGGGCCCCTCGCGGATGATGCGCTTGGGGCCGTGGGTGTTGGTGTTGTCGCAGTACCACACCAGCAGCTCCTTGTAGGTGTAGCCGGGGCCCTTCTGCAGCCGGTGCAGGCACTTCAGCAGGTACTTCTTCACGTGCATTGTGGCGCCTACAGAGAGAGACCCGGCGAGGTCACGTCAGACAGGACACCGGCCTCCACCGCGTGGATGCCCCAGTCATGGTCATGGCCAGAGATGGGGCAGCATATCCCAGCTCACCCACCCCCACCCTTCCTTCTGCCCTTCTATGACCATCCATCCATCTGCCCATCCACTCATCCAGCCAGCCAGTTACTCACCTACCCCCCCATCCACCCATCCAACCAAAAAGCATTTATTAAATATTTAAAGGGGCCAGCGTTGTGGCACAGTGGGTTAAAGCCCCAGCCTGTGGTGCTGGCATTCCATATGGGTGCCGGTTCGAGTCCTGGCTGCTCCACTTTGGATCTGGCTCCCTGCTGGTGCACCTAGGAAAGCAGTGGAGGATGGTCCAAGTGCTTAGGCCCCTGCACCCATGTGGGAGACCCAGAAAAAAGCTCCTGGCTCCTGGCTTCAGATCAGCTCGGCTCTGGCCATTGTGGCCATTTGGGGAGTGAACTAGCGGAAAGAAGACATTCCCTCTCTCTCTGTAACTGTCATTCAAATACATAAAATAAAACTTATAAAAACTTTTTTAAAATTTTATTTGAAAGGGAGAGAGAGAGAGAGACACTGGTTCACATCCCAGATACCCATAACAACGAGCTGGACCAGGCTGAAGCCAGGAGCCAGGAACTCCCTCTGGGTCTCCCACATGGGTGACGGGGACACAAGGACTTCAGCCAAGCCCTGCAGCCTCCCAGGGTGCGGCATCAGCAGGAAGCTGGATTTGGGAGCGGAGCTGGGACCCGGATCCAGGCATTTTGATACCGGATGCAGGCATCCCGCGTGGCGACCTAACTGCTGCCCAGTGCCCACCTGATGGAAGCATTCACTGAGCGCCTGCGGTCAGGTGCTGAGTTGGTGCTGCCTGTGCACTCAGGGCTGTGTGAAATGGACAAGGTATCTTACCCTCCGAGAATCCACAACCCAGTGGACAAGGTACTTAAACTCTTTGCTCCTCAGGGTCTCCCCCCGGGGAAAGTGAGGATGATAATCATGCCTGATTCATATGATTGCTGTGGGGGTGAAATTAGGTCACGTACAGAAAGTATGGAGCCCAGTGCCTAGCACAGACCACAGCTCAACATGCCGGTTGCCATCATTGCCGGCTCTGAGTGGGTACGCTGGATGCTAAACTGATCAGCCACTCAAAATGTGTAGTCTCCACGCACAGATGAGATTACAGCAAGATAAAGGGCTTCTGCACAGCGAAAGAAACACCCAACAGAATGGGAGAGAGTATTTGCCAACTATTCATCCGACAAGGGATTAATATCCAGCATATAAGGAAGTCAAACAACGCAGCAGCAGCAAAACAAATAATCTGCTTAAAACACGAGCAAATGATCTTCCAAAGAAGACGTACAAACGGCCAACGGGGACAGGACAAGATGCCCCAGACGACTGATCATCCAGGAAATGCAAACCGAAGCCGCAATGCGGTGTCATCTCACCCCAGCGGGAGAGTTATGGTCAAAAAGACAAAAGAATAACAAACGCTGGCAAAAGTGTGGAAAAGGGGGCTCTTAGGCACCCCTGGTGAGACCATGAGTTAGCACTGCCCTCTGGAAGTTGCTCAAAAAACTAGATCCAGCAATCCCACCACTGGGAAAGTATCCAAAGGAACCGGCATTGGTATGCTGGAGAGAGAACTGCACACCCGTGTTGATTTCGGCGCAGTTCACAACATCGGAGAAACGGAATTGGCGTAAGTGTCTGTCTATCAACAGACCAATGGCTGGGCAAAAGTTGGCCCAGATCCACAGTGGAATACTACTCAGCCGTCAAAAAGAACGGAGTCCTGCCATCTGCAACAACCGGGCCGGCACCAGACGTCATTATGCTAAGAGCAACAAGTCACAGGAAGACACACGCTGCCCATTCCCACTCACACGTGGACGCCAAGAGCACTGATGCCATGAAAGTGGAGTGGCTGGAAGGGTGTGGGAGGCGTGAAGAGAGGGTGCCGACAGGTACGGACGTGGTCGCACGAGGAGTAACCTCTTGTTTCTATGTTTTAGTTCATTTCTAATTTTAATTCATTTTAACAGATTCAATATGATTTGTAGATGCAAGGCTAAGGACATAATGGCATTCCCTTCCTTCTCTCTCTCTCTCTCTCTCTCTTTTTTTTTTTTTTTTAGTTTTTGAGATAACATATTTTAAATTTACATTGCAGTCAAAAGGCTTAATACTTCGCCAAATAAGACATTTAACAAGTAAAAAGCAAAAAGACCCTACTTTAGTGGGAATATAGACAACAGCTATAAATAATAATTGAATGGAAAAAAGAAGGAATAACTTTGAATGTTCTGAGGCCAGTGCTGTGGCATAGTGGGTAAAGCCGCACGCCTGCAGTGCCAGCATCCCATATGGGCGCCGGTTCGAGTCCCAGCTGCTCCACTTCCCATCCAGCTCTCTGTGATGGCCTGGGGAAAGCAGTGGTAGATGGGCCGAGTCCTTGGGCCCCTGTACCCACATGGGAGACCAGAAGAAGCTCCTGGCTCCTGGTTTCAAATCAGCTTAGCTCTGGTCATTGAGGCCAACTGGGGAGTGAACCAGTGGATGGAAGACCTCTCTCTCTCTGTGTGTGTCTCTCTGCCTCTCCTCCCTCTATATAATTCTGACCTTCAAATAAATAAATCAATCTAAATTAAAAAAAAAAAACTTCTAATGTTCTATTGCACATTAGGGAACCATGGTTGACAATAATTCATTATATATTTCAAAATAGTAAGGAGAGAAGAGTTTGAACTTTCCTAACACACACAAAAAAATGATAAACATTTGAGGATGAATATGCCAGCTACCCTGGTCAGTTCCCTACACATTATATATGTGAAATGAAAAATATCCCATACTCCATTAGCATGTACAATTACTGTGTATCAATTAAAAATAAACTTAAATGGATAACTGCAAAGCTTCAAACCATGATAGGCAGGATTAGAACCCTGTGCCCTGGCATCCTAGGGGCACAAAACAGCGGTGGTTAAGAACGAGGACTTTGGGGAGCAGATGCTGTGGTCCGGTGGGTTAAGCCGCCACTTGCAACCCTGGTATCTCATTTCAGAGTGCTGGTTCAGGTCCTGGCTACTCCACTTCCGATCCTCCCTGTGAATGCCTCCCAGGAGGCAGTGGGGGGTGGCTCAAGTGTTTGTGCCCCTGCCACCCATAGGGGAGACCTGGATAGAGTTTCAGGCTCTTGGCTTTGGCCTGGCCCAGCCCTGGCTGTTGTAGACATTTGGGGAGTGAGTCAGTGGATGGAAGACCTGTGTCTCTTTCTCTGTGTCTTTCTGTGTGAGTGTCTCTGTCTCTGTCTCTCTTTCTGGGATGTCATGTGCTATCCACCAGTTAGGCCTTGGGGTGCTGGACTGTACAAGACAGACGTAATCTTCCCAGTTTGACAGTTGTGGAAAATAATGTGTCAGAATGAAACAACACGTTATTCATCCAGCTCCTTCCTGGAGTCATTAGATATAGGAATCAGTACATTTTCTCTACTTATGCTGATTCAAACTGGTGTCTATCATTTGCAGTCATTAACATTTTTAAAATATCTAGTTTTAATAATTCTTCAATTTATTTTCATTTTGTTTGAAAGGCAGAGAGAGAGAGAGAGATTCTCTTATCTACTAATTCACTCCCCAACAGCTCGTAACGTCCATGGCTGGGTCAAGTCAAATCCAGGAGGCTGAAACTCAGTCCAGGCCTCCCATGTGGGTAGCAGAGACCCAAGTACTTGAACCATCACTTGCCACCTGCCAGGGTGGACATGAGCAGAAAGCTGGCTCAGAAATCAAGAAGCCATCACGGGAACCAGGCACCCCCGTCTGGACGTGGGTGTCCAAGTGGCGTCTTTATCTTCCCCAGTCAGTAGCATTTTAACAGGAAAAGAAATTCTCTTGTGGTACCCAGTAGTGCAGTTGCTTGTGTGAGTGGCTGCTCCATGGTTCCATGTGGGTGGTGGCTCTGTATTCCTGACAATGGCCGGCACAGTGCCTGGCACAGGTCTGCGTAATGCCAGACCTGTGTATCTAAACAGAGGCTGTCAACATAGCCACGTATGCTCGTCCCTGGCCTAATTTCCTGACACAGCGAAGCCTCACGGGCTTTCCCCTCTGTTCTCAAACCAAGCCCCCATGCACCTGCCCACACCATCGGGGTCAGGTAGACTTCAGAGTCAGCCGTCCTCAGGGGACCCACTTCCTGCCCTGAAATCATGAAGTCATGCTAACAACCATGGCAGCAGTCCCAGGCACTGTGCAAGGGGCTTCACGTGCCATTTCAGTCTCACACAGTACTTCCCACAACTACAAATGCACAGAGAAGGCTCCATCCATCCGGTACGGTCCAGCACCTTGAGGCCTGGCAGGTCCGGTAAGTAGTCACGGGAGAAATAAACAGAGAGCGTCTGCAAGAGCCTACCCACTTATACCATCACGTAATCATTTGGATTCAGTTAAGGAGCAGGCCCCAGCGTGGTACTGATAGGTCCTTCACGTCCCTCTGAGCCTTACTAATCTTCCTGTGAAACAATGAGGCTTCAGGTTCAGAATCAATGTTGAGTTTGAGCGACTAACAGTCTGTCTTCACTGGAGTCACAGACGTTTGCATTGTGCCCATAAAGGCAGGTAAGGAGGAAGAGGGAACTCCGGGAGCAGGTTAAATGTTTAGACTGGTGGTTAGCCGGCACCGCGGCTCACTAGGCTAATCCTCCACCTGCGGCGCCGGCACACCGGGTTCTAGTCCCGGTCGGGGCACCGGATTCTGTCCCGGTTGCCCCTCTTCCAGGCCAGCTCTCTGCTGTGGCCCAGGAGTGCAGTGGAGGATGGCCCAAGTGCTTGGGCCTTGCACCTGCGTGGGAGACCAGGAAGAAGCACCTGGCTCCTGGCTTCAGATCAGCGCTGTGCACCGGCCGTAGCGGCCATTTGGGGGGTGAACCAATGGAAAGAAGACCTTTCTCTCTGT